CTCAACTATACCATCACTTCTGTGTCTTATACTCAGATCCAAAAAAATTGAATCTGTTTTCATTTTTGTATTCCATTGTGAAATTCATGTGTAAATGTGCTTGGTTGAAGGTGTCAAATAACTTTGACGCATGATTCATATTATCAAAAACAATGAAAGTATCATCGACATACCTTCACTAATATGTCGTTTACTTGGTTGCAGAGTTCATATATGTTCGTTTGAGATGAGCCATAAATATATCAGCTAAGGTAGGTCCTAGTGGTGAACCCGTAGCCACTGCATCAGTTTGCCGGTATAGTTGATTATTAAACTGTAACTGAACACCTTTTGTACAGAGGAGCAATAACTATTTGAGTTCTGCTTTTGGCAATAGGAGTATATCAGACTGTTGACAGATTATGTCTATCGTTTCGTCCACTGGTATGTTCGTAAATAGTGAGGAAACACCACATGATACCATAAATGTCTGCGATATCTAACCTAGCCAGTTCTTCAGGGAATGGGAATTTCTTCTTCAAGCTTTTTATGGTTGGTTGAAATTTCTTTGCTACCCAACTAGCCAATTTGTGACAAATTGAATTTGTCATGGACAAAATGGGTCTCAAAGGGACGCTAGACTTATGGATTTTCGGAAGGCCATGCATGAGAAGTAGTCGTGAACCCATTGGTTTAAGTTCATTATAGGTTGCGTAATAAACCAAATGCTTCTTCAAGAGTTCCCTAAGGTGCTTGTTTACTTTGTTTTTAATTGAAACCGTCGCATCCTTTTGGGATCTATCAACTTTAAATCCCGACCAAGCGCCCAAAATCATCAGCATTTTATGCAAGTAGTCATTTTTGTTTATTAAGATGACACTAGACTCCTTATCAGCTCTAGTTATAACGACTTTTTCATTATTGTGGAGCTTTTTCAGCCCCAACATATGTTCCTTAATCAGGATTTTTGAATGTTGATATTGATTTCAAAAATTGATTGGCAATATCGACCATCTTAGCTTTAAACCAACTTCTTTTAGCCTCATTTTTAGGCTTCAAGTCATGAAGTTGTTGGTATAGGTTTTCAAATTGCGTTTCTGTACCATTTCGATTAACGTGTTCGTATTGGACATGAAATATAAATCGAAGAGTTTCAGTTCCCATCTTATTTAGTGTGATATTGGAAAGATTGCGTATATACGTCTCTGGATTTTCAGGAAATCCCTCATATACTTTCTCTGTTACTAGGGCTTTCTACATATTTCTACATATTTAAAGTATGTTGTGCCATTATTACTACTAATACTTCATTGCAGTTGTAGGCTGTTAGCAGTTGATGAAAGGCTGTGAAATAAAATGAGCCTATTTAATTTTTTGCAAATGCGTTTGTCCTTGCATTCTTCAAATTTCCCAATCTTATTAAATCATTTGAACGTTGACAAATTTTAATGTTTCCTCATAACCTTTAAATTGTTTCTTTGTACCCTGATAGAAGGACTTAAGGATGAGAGTTTGAGAATTAGAATTATGTATATATTGTTTAGTTTCAACATAAGTGAAAGTGGTTTATATTTGTGGTTATAAAATTCCAAACTATTATAGTTTATACAACAGAAGAGCCTGGTTGTTAGGAGTTTACATGGTATTCCTGCTTTATGTATATTTACTGTAATATGAATGTGCATTAGCAAAAGATCCGGTCTGTTACTGCAAATGACAGTCGCAATGAATCGTTACTGTTCGCATTGTTTCTAGTGGACAGGTCACATGAAACTTCCGCAGTAATAATAGTAGTACTTAATTTCAAAGAAACTCACTGTAAATGGCAACATAGAGCATGTTGTGTTTGGATTCCTCAAAATATCCGTTGGATAATTTTTATATTTTTAAAAGGCTACCTGACCCTAAATGTTTCTTGAAAGGCCAGTAGCCTGTGTGTGTGATACGAGAGCAAAAAATATTACTCTTAGACGAACGTCTGTATTATCCATATAATAACTCTTAGGTAAGTTCATAGTGCTAAAAATCTTTATTAGATCTGACACTGGATTTAAGTCGACAGAACATTTTTATGAATGCGTCTGCAGCATAGACCGTTATCATTCATGCATGCAAGAATTTACAGATGTTGATAATTTTTTCTGGAATCAGTAACTGACTGATAAACAGTTGGATGTGAAAACATGAACTGTCTTCCAAATTCTATTTCTTTCAGGAAAAATACCTAAACCTGTCGGTCCAGAAGTCACAGCATATAAACCATTTTTGATTGTGTTGATTGTGTGACGGTAGAAGCATACGTTCATGATAAGCACTAACTCAGGTTATCAAATACAGTGATAGATGTTTAACAACTGCCATTCAACTTCTTGAAATGCATTTTCAATTCATTTCGTGTTATTAACGAAGTATTTCAACCTTTCTGTTTAGAATATGCCTATTGAAGTAAGTTGGAATGCACGCATTGACCATATGCACTTTTGTGCAGTAATCAGTGAGCTACACCTATTGTAGGATGGCGAAATTATGATACCTGACTGCCCAGACCTTGGTAGGTGGGGTGATGTTCAAACACATGACCGACTGGTCGAAAGTTCAGTGTTTAGACCAATGCTCCATAGCTTCCTTACAATAATTCGGTATATACTGTACCATGGCATAGGGTTCAGATCTATCAACGCGTTTCAAAGTACCGAAACTTGTCTATTTGGTAAGACAATATCAACATGCGGCTTGGTATTAACGTGCGATGGTTATCACATCTTAAGTCAGAATACATAGTATGACAGCGAATACTGAGCAGTACAGTATACCCTTAGTGGGTGATTTCACATCTTCTTGGGATAACAAGTAATGTGTTATAAGAACCCAACCGAACCCTTAATATTTGTGCCGAAATTCCGCAGGTTACTGACCTACCAAAGCTGTTCCAGATTCTCAAGTATATGAAGTGGTCAATATGTTCAACCACTTCACTCAATACTAAAAGATAAGGTGTCATTGTCGGCCGGTTTTATGCAACACTTTGTATTCGAGATAAAAATGAATCCCATACATTCACAGATTATCATTCACGTTCACAGGACTCCCCATCTTGCCAGCGTTTTCAACTGAAATGACAACTACGTCTGACACTAAGTCAAAAAAAGGAAACAAGCACCAAAACTTTTGTTTATGGCAAAGCTCAACAAAAAGAAATGAGGTAGTATCATTTATGGAAGTGTACTGGCTGATAATCACTTTCAGTAAAGGTTGTAGTTTGGAGACTTCTTGATTTAAAGGGATATATGTTACCCTCAGTTCAAGGAATATAGCTTGTATCGGGCTCCGATGAGACTTTATGCAATAATGATCACATATCGAATACAAAATCTTAGTCATACTGTTTACTAGTATGTTTTCTAGAAGCACACAACTGTGCAAACACAATATCTACTCGAACCAGTTAGAGGCAACTGACCAAACACGAGCTTTAAAAGCAGCAACAGTCTTCTATTAGCTCTGGTAGTAACTGGTAGTAATGTGGTCTGTCTGTGTGTATGAGATTTCAGAACTAACTTTTATGCACCTTTTTGCCTGATTAAACCTTCGTACTTGTTCATTGAGGCCTACCACTACAACCACCACATTTAAATAATAATCTTTTGGTAGATGCCAGATTTTTTCGGCTAAACTCCATTCTCACTTTATCCAAACTTCAGTCAATAGGTGTGTGAGTAGAGATTACGCAGACACCGGTGTGTTTCACTTCTTGTTTGATTTCATATTGTCACTCAGTCGAACTGTGTATGGCTGACTGCTAGCTTGGTAAATTTCTCAGATTCACCACATCACCCACCTAGGTTAAATGAGTAATCCAATTTGGTGAGGGGCGAAGACATTGAAAACTTTGTTATTTGTTTGCAGTGCGATTATAGCTGTTCTGAACTAAGTATATTCTTTTCAATAAATTCTCGTGTGGTTCTACAGTTATAGAAAACAGTTGTCCAGCTTTCACAGCAGGCCGTTTGCAAAATGAAATGTGAATTAGTGACTAACCAGGTCGTTTCATCTTTCCTAATTTGTCAATATTAAGGTGACCTATCGACACGCAGACAGAGTCGATGTAGAACCTGGTATTACTGGGTAATAATGCAAGTCGTCACACATTATGTCACCATATCCTGTGGCTGTTGGTCGTACTGTTTTAGTAACTGTTAAGTAAGTTGACTTATTTAGGGTCATCAACAAAGCTTCTTTTATTAGGTGTAAAAATGGTCGATTACAACTGCATAAAAGTTGTGCTCAGTCAATGCGATCCAGGTAGTAAGTTAATCAGTCTCAACTTTTATCTCGTAAGTTATTCTTTAAACATCCCAAAGATATCTTATGGATACTTCTGGTCGTACGTAGGTTGTGATAGCCTTTTAAACCCTGTCGAAGTCGGAGGGCTTCTATCCGTAATGTATTTATATTGTGACCGAGCATCGGAAAATTGTTAACCACTGTATCTCATAGAATCCCTTTTAATGTTTCATCCATCTTTCCAACCGTGCAGTATTCGACTTTATTAGGGGTCTGCATTTATCTAATCACTGCATTTCTTGAACTTGTTCCACTTATAAGTGTAGATCTGATGAACATTACACATAGCAGTTGCCTTCATGGTTATAAAATTCCTCTTCCCTCTATCACAGCTAACTATTGCTAGAAATATTCGGTTAGCGAGTATCGTAGCATTTTTCATCTATTTTCATTTTCGAAAGTGATTGGAAGAGTGTTTTTATTTGATAGTAGGTTAGTTAGAAAGTTCTATACGAAGGTTTAGGAACGTCAACAAGCGACAGCTGTTTAACCGAGTGCGACCAAGTTCACCATCGACATTATCCGTCCGTTTCGTTTGGTTTTTAATTACCGTTATGTAATATGGGATGAAACTTTCGTTTTAAAGCAAGTGCTAAATGCATAAACGGAAAATATGACAACTAATTTGTGAAGCATCATAACTGGTTCATCTTTTTCATCACTTGGTTCATTGATAGTTTCAGATAAAGTCATGCAGACTGTATTTATGGTTGCTGAGAAGCCTTCATTGGCTGAATCAATTGCAAAATCGTTGTCGAATAAACGTAATTCAAGTAGACGGGATTCAATGGAGCATGTTCTGTTCATGAATGGACTGGTCAATTTATGAGTGAACAAGTTCGCTTTAAAATGACCTCAGTGTGTGGCCATGTAATGAACGTTGATTTTTTAAGCCGTTACAACAGTTGGGACAAAGTGGATCCTGTAAGTCGATTTTATATGCATAATATGTAAATATTCACTAGGCTGAATTGTTTGTTGCCCCGATTGAGAAAAAGGAAGCGAACCCTAAGTTGAAAATGGTGGACTTTCTTCGTCAAGAGGTTTTTTATGACTGTCGTAAAGTATTATTATCTAGGGGAAAAATGCGGGTATACTAATTCTTTGGCTGGACTGCGACAAAGAAGGTGAAAATATATGCTTTGAAGTCATCAACTGCGTTCATTCAGTTATGGTGCATCCTGTAAGTTTTGTTGGAATATTTGTATATTCACTGTGATTTCTACTTTAAAACCAGCCGCTATCCTTTTAAATTGAAAACTGTGTTTTGGACTTCTTATTTCTTATTTAAGTAGTGTATTTTCATAGTAGTCGAAAGTGAGAATGCTAATACCTTTGATATTTCGTTTTTGATTACATTATCACAAATTGTGATTGACTCATCACTGTGCAAGGAATTAATTGCCATGTTTTTTCTCATGTACACTTTGTTGATCTACATTTCGGTTGCATAGCCATATATATATATATATATATATATCTTCGGATGTTCTTTAGGACTCGAAGTGGATAGACAATATTTGTATTCAGTTAAACTTCAATTGATAAGTTTATTCGTAACCTCTTTTTCTACTGATGCGAATCCTAAATAGACTTAATCACTAAGGCTAAATAAGATTAGTAAAGTGGAAATTCTAGAGGGATCGAATCAAGTAATAAATTTCCCTGACTTTTCAAGTAATTGAGGAAGTTATGGTATTTGTTTTTAGTAAGAGTAATGGGCTTTCCAACACCAGTGTTAAACAGTCAAACCAGGTCTCCATAAATTCGATGGAATTGTTACTTATGATTGAGGACTATTTGTACAAATGTACAGTTTGATAATAAGTTGGTTGGGAAGAGATCTGTTCATACAGTTTATTTTATTTTTAAAGAACAAAGCCTGATGGTCGTGAGGACAGTTACTCAACGATGACATTGGGTGGCGGTTGCGCTATATCGTGAGCTAACAGAAGTTGGAAATATGGACCACTGGTTTCTGACCCAGTGGCTCAATGGTAACATGCTGGCCACGGAACCTGAAGGTCGCGGGTTCGATCCCTCACGGGGTCTTGGGTGCGCACTGCTGAGGAGTCCCATACTAGGACGGAACAGCTGTCCGGTGCTCGCAGGTTTCGTTTGTTTCTCTGACTGATGTGAGTCTACGATGAATAAAAACATAAACCAATTACAGGGTTCCCCAACCTAATAGGAGAGACTTCTGCATACAAACATGAAGAGCAAATCACGCTATTGACTGTACATTATTTCGTGAGATTGGTGAAATAACATCTACATATTCAAACTTGCAGTCAGCGCTTAAAACTTATTAGCTACTAAATGATCCTTTTTTACACTTCATTAATTATCTTACTATCAGTTATTATTCAGTCATATATCAACACTAAGAGTTGTCAAGAGGAACCAACCTGCGAAAGTTATGTTGGCGATCGATTAACTAAACTCCATTAACAAGATAAAACAAGTTTATAGAAAAAAATTACTATCTCCAATTAAATTCATATAAAAACTTCAGTAAAACTACTCACTGAAGAGTTATTGAACACTGTGAAGTTTTAGGAGTATTGAATTTCGGGGGGTTCTCACTAACCTTGATTTTCAAAATTTCTTTTTCTGCCATACATCCTTTTTTATTTTGGTGTCAGTCTTTTTCCATCCACTTGTTCTTTGCATGCTACTGTGAGGTGTAGCAACTTGAACCGATAAACTATTGTGTGGGGTTATACGTTTATTTTGTCTGTCTGTTGTCTGTGATGTCATTTTCTGAAAGGGATGATTATCCGGTACATTAATTGACTGTTAGGTAAATCAGCGTTTGACCTTCCATCAAACTGCATCAGTGCAAGGTGCTACACTTCATAGTGGTATGCAAAGAAAAATTTCCATCGAAAAAGAATTATACTGAAGTAAGCCAAAGTGTGTAACAGGCGAAACAATAGACAAATAAGGGTTGGTGAAAATGTCCAAAATTTTGAAGACGAAAAAAGTGATTACTTTCGCCCGATTTTAACCACCTTTAAGCTATATTATCAGCGGTTCCCTATCTTATCTAGGACCCCAAACAGATGGCATGAATCTCTCCCACATGGATAAGACTGACAAACAGAGACTTCATGGAATAATGCTGTATCTTGGTGTTTCCTCTTTTGGCCTGGTTCTAAAGTAATCCTGTTTCAGCCTACATTGCACATGAAGGTAGTCAGAGGCTCTACATGAGCACTCCATTCATCAAGATGTTTTATGGTAATGTTTGTAACTGATATGTAAAACAGCATACTTAGAGGTCCATATTCAAGCACTCCTCTTAGACCATAATGTAATGCCTCATATGAGTCGTGTACTTCGTGGCTTTCATCAAGGATATCTACTCCTTCAATTCTTACGTAATTTTGCCACGAGTGTACTTATGGAGGTCTCCCTCACCTCCTGTGACTTTGCAGAGACTGACGTCTTCACTTGAGATCTCTTTTTTGATCTGGATTACGAAGGTGGCATCGCCCTGATAGGCGAAAATGCTGACTAGATGCAAAGTCTTCTGAACGTTTAGTGATGATTTGAGAATGTCTGGGATACGTTTCTCATCACCCACATGCCGACTTTCGCTCTAGTAATGATCTGCGTTGGCGCGTCGTCTAGCGATAGAGAGTGACGTGGTTGATTTCATAAACCACTTCACTTGAAAATTCGGATCAACTGTGTTGTTTCTGTGGTCGACAAAAGTTCTGCTTGGTTACAAAAGGCTGGCTTGATTTTTGTCAAATTACGCTATCCAATGGACCGGAGACATATCTACACGCTTACAGAAGGTCGAGTGTATTATACAACAGTTCGCTCTGTCCTTCTCTAAACCTGTAAAACATAGCTATTAAATATGAAGGACATATGGCTTCAAGTGTTTGACCACCGTTACATTCGTGTGTTGTGAATTCATCACATTAGTAACATGGAGGTGAGGTCTAGAGTCTTAGGTAAAAAAGGTAAGTCAGTTGATGAGGTTGTCGATGTTCAACGATTCAGATGGTTGGGACACGTTTTGCTCATGCTTGTTCAACGTCTGCTCTAACGCACAATATTAACTAAAGTGGGTTCAACCTAGAGAACAGGTAAGGACGGCATGATTAAAAATTGCCATAATTTCATGAAGTTTATGACTGTTGATCTGAACCTTGTACGAAAATATTATCTTTCAAGTCGTCATCTATTTAACAACTGAAGTCGATGATTGGAACTTTAGGCAATGAGGCTCAAAACCAATTTTATCAGGTCAGATGAATCTGCACCTTATCATCTTTTCAACTGTTATGTCATTTCATTTCTTGTTCCAACCTTTCATCTCCTCTTGCGGTTTTCTCATACCTTTCTTTTAACCTGTTATCATGCTTCCTGGTGTGTTGATATGCGGTATAGGTCATCTGGGCAGTATGGGAAAAAGTGAGACTCGATATCTGCAATGTCCGCTTGAAGTCCTACTGTCTAGCGGTTGACTCAGTCAAATTTGTGTATTTCAGAAGATTGATTCAGAATCAAATTTTGTCGAATCTGATGGTTTGACTAACCATCTGCTGCACTTTCGATTGCTACCTCGATGCCTAGTTTCTCTTTGAAACATTGTTACGTAATGAAATACTGTAAGGGCTCACTGTTAGTTTACTTAAATCAGTGTTTAAGGGAAAGCAGAGATTCAGTTTCCGCATTTCATCCCTCATTGTTTAGTAGCGTGATTACAAGCAAATTCAACCTATCTTGTTACATAAGTGTCATATGACATTCGGTAAATCATATTTACTGCACTTTCTGGGGCAAATAAACCTCATGTCTTTTCATACAGTATCTATTTCATTTATGATTCCCTTCAATCTTCTTTTTACTCCACCACTGGTTATCTTTCTTCAGATCTGAATGTCAGATTTTAGTTTTTTGCTGCTAAACTTGGCAACGAAATGGTTGCATCACCTTTTGTTCGTAGTTACTTTTAAATCAGAAAACAAACAGTGCCTACGAAGGTCAGCGATCTTTAGCTGTGCATCAATGCCTTCTGGATTGCGTTTGTGTTTAGTGTGCTAGTTTCCATTTACTAAAACAAGTGACATTTAATATACTGAGAGATTTTGATGTCAACCTAGGATGTCACTTATGTACCGACGGCTCATCTCAAAACCCACAGTTACTCCCAAATTTACTGTTTTTATAACGATCGGTTTTTGTATCCTAGCTACAAATAAAAATGATCACTTCCATATTGAATATGTAGCAAATAATGTTACAGTTTTATTTACTGGATGGTATTCCGAGGTGATCATATGATCTACTTGTTTGGCTGACTATGTTCCATTCTTCAGTCTTAATGTTAGTCCAGTTTTCCAAATATCCGAGAATGGCGTTGAGTCATTCCTACTGCATATGTTAGAGGTTAGTTTACTGAACAGAAATTCGCAAAGTGAAGCCAGACACAAACCATGACGTTTCCAACATTCGCTGTATACATAATCAAGTTATACCTAAGTATTTTTGTCTCCGTAGATGCATTTAAGCGAACAGAAGTGGAGTGGCAATTTAGGGAGTTCGCCGACTTTGTATAAAAGAACAAATCTGCAGATTTGACCAAAAAGTAACATGTATTTTCAGTGAGACCGAGCACCCCAAATTTGACTTTATGTAGACAGTAAGCAGCGGACACTGCGATTTCCCGGTTAAAACATCCAACAAAACGAAATTGACTAATTGGCTGGTTTCAATAAATCCAAAAATGATCAAATTAAAAACTTGAACAAATTGGTATAAAAAAAATATCCATCTGAGAAGAATTTAGCTGCCAACAAAACATTGTAAACCTGTTCGCCAAATCAATATATAGCACATACTCGGAAAGTTGCATTCTCATTAAAACCAAAGAATCGGAGTAACAAAGCTGTATAAAGCAAACAAGAAGCAGGATGATTGTGAGCAATAATAATAATAATAATAACAATAATAATGTATTACTTTTTGCTGTATCAAATGAACGTATTCAATGTAGAGTTGTACTTTATCACAGTTCAACTCTTTTAAAAGTGATCACTAGCTATAATTAATTCCAAGTGTGTCTTTTATTCATAATTGGTAATTTTAATTATATTTTATTTCTATGTTCAGAAACGAATATTACGCGCACATTTCAGTGCTGTTACTGATCAAGAATTACATGGTGCTATGAAAAATCTTAGAGAACCTAATAAACACGAAGCGTTGTCAGTGGATGCTAGACAAGAACTTGACCTTCGAATTGGTTGCGCATTTACTCGATTTCAAACAAAATTCTTCCAAGTGAGATTTTTCAGTTGACTTTTGTTTTGTGTACTAATTAAGAAGGATGATTATTGTATTGAATCAAATGGATTTATTGATTACAACTTGACAAACTGACTCGTTTTCATATTCGTACCCTGAAACGACTCCTTTGCAGGGGAAGAGACTCAGTAATCACTTTACTGTGTGCAGCGCATAGTAACGCAAGTCAAAGCCATAGAGGAAGCTTGAGACATTTCGAAGCCTTAGATGCCGCTTCCTTTATAAATGCTAAAAAATACTTATTTCTCATATGCTCGGTTATCAACTATCTGCAAATACTCACGAGTGTCACAAATGTACTAAATAAAGTCATATGGAGCTCTCTGTTTAACTTTTGATTTGGATAATCACTGCTTGATCTATTTCTTCAGTTGTGTTTCTTTTTATTTCCTCATCCTGTCCCTGTAGCTAGTTGCTACATTTAAAACTGTTTCCAATGATAAACCCTTCATATCAACTAACACAGCCAACACAACACCTGTTTATGATGATAACATGAGAATGAATAGAGTTTTTATCGAGTTGTATGAAACGGCATAAGCCCCAAAAGTGCTTACATGTTTCATTCAAGTTGTCGAAAATGAGAATGGCTGATGAGTAGACCAAGGTCACATGCCTCTGATTTCCAGTCATTTTCTTTCTTCAGATATTTGGCTAGTGGTCAGCTGGTTACTAATACTTTTCACCCACTAGATCGAGAATGCAAATTCTAATCTACCTACTTAACTGTAATTAATCGGGTAGCACTGTAATACTTTGAGTACCTGTCTGCCCATTAATAACTAAAAATACAATTCAATGTTGCATTTTTCTGCAGTAAGACATCAAGTTTAAGCTGTTTTATGAAAAGATTATTGTTTGAAGGTCATCGCCCCCAAGACAATAGTCACAGTTATCACTAAGATTTCCAGAGCACACAATAAGGTATTGTCATATAGAATAATGTATTATATCACTGTGTGCTGTGAAATAAGATCTATTATGGAGTTACATTCCATTGCAGTACCGAAGTTCTACTCTTAATATCATGAGATTCGTAGTTAGGCTAATGAACGAGCTATTTGTCTTTTAGCAATTAAGACGGTAATGTGAAGTACTGTACACTTGCGCTGGGGAGAAAATGCTTTTTTTTAAAAATGATTTTCTGTTATCGAAAGCAAGTGGTTTTACAGGATCGTAAAGATATTGTGAAAAGTGCACTCCAACGCCTAAGGAAAATGTTTTTAACCATTTTGTAAGAAGTGCTCGATACACGCACTTGCGGTATGTATAAAGAGTCATAGAATGCAACTCCAATTTGCATAAGGAATTATTGAATACGAAAGGTATCACTTTAGCTGTAAAGCTGGCACATAAGTTTTGTTCATTTTTAAAGATAAATAAATTAACTCTACAAACCTACCTAACCTATTGTTTATTTGATTGATACACAAATTTACTATTCTCTTTTAACAAAGGGTAAATATGGTGATTTGAATAGTAATCTTGTATCATTTGGACCTTGTCAAACACCTACGCTAGGATTCTGTGTAAAACGACATGACCAAATCCAATCTTTCAAACCTGAGACATTTTGGCGAATAAAAGTGAGTACAACCTTATTGTTCTACTTTATTATATTAACATATTGTTTGAAAAAAATACAGTGAGATATGAAAAGAAGCTGTAAATTGAAGTTTGACTTTTCTTGAAACTTACTGGTAAAGCAGTTTGACATAGCTACAAGAACTTTTTTCTTGGTTATAAAGAATGAACCGTCTTATCTTGTTTCAAGTTTTAGTCATTAATAACTGCGTAGACTTCAACGTTGGCTTCGTTAAATAGATCGGCTGTTGAATGATAATATCTGCTGTGTTTTTGAGTAACTGATGGTGAAATCAGCATCTTTTAGTGTTCATGTCAATAATACTCTCTAGTAGTTCATTAGTTATACTATTCCGCTTTTAAGTTTTGGTTTACTTGACTTCAGGTACGTTTATCTTATCATTTTATTCCTCACCAACTGAGTGAATATATTTCATCTTTAAAAGCATAAAACGTTTGGTGATTTTATTCTCTACAGGTGTAAAAAAAACAGTTTTGTACATTTAAATCTACAAGATTTCTTCAGTCACAGATGTTATAATCATTTTGAATATCTGAGATAGAACCGTGGTTTGGCGGACTAGCATCGATACTGGGTGATGATTGAAGGTGAACCGAAAATGTAGACCTCGGTGAGATTCGAACCAGCGCGCCAGGTTTCTAGCCCAGTGCTCTACCAGCTGAGCTGCGAAGCCCTGACCGGTCAGCCAGTGTAAGTACGACCAAGCGGTAGTAACACGTCACGAATTCAAGGGGTAGTCGGGCAAAACCCTTAGTGGTTGACGCGAAATAAATATCTAGTCAGCAGTCGGGCCGGGCCTCGTAGCTCAATTGGTAAAGCATCGGGTTGGAAACTCGGTGGTCCTTGGTTCATATCCCTCCACGGTTCAGATTTTCATTTCACCTTTAATCATCACCCAGTAACAGATGTTGTCTTTTATTCTAAACTTGAGAATCAGTATAGATCTAAATTGTAGTTATAATAATTTCGTATTTTCTATGAAAGAAGTCAAAAGTTCCGTGTAAGATGAAAACTAATCATGCTACAGCATACTTACTAATAAAGCTAACAAGTTTCAACGTAAATTCATGTAGTATACCAAGATCAACTGAAGCGTTTGAGAAACCCACTTAGACATCATGATATTATATGGATAGTGATAAATAAATAAAATTCAGTTAATTTTTACAGCTGATGAAGTGGTTTTGTGCGAAAGTGTCTCCTTCAGATTACTAAAGACACATTAATCAAGTGGATGTTATGACTACTAAGGTTAGCGTGAAGTCCTTCTTTAAGCGTTAGAGGTTTTTATTCTTCGGATTTTAGCACTACAATCTTTTTCGAAGTTTACTTGCAATTAGAATATTCACTTCGTAAATGAAGTAAGTTTTCCCTTTTAAAGTTTAGCGCATAAACTTTGTCACAAGATCGTACTGAATATCTGTTAACGAATGAAACTTCTCTAAAAAATGTTAACTCTTCTTAAGGTTATGGATTTGTTGAATGTATTCGGCTGTTAACGTGATTAGGTTTCTCTTCTGTCATGAAGATACCCGACTAAAGTATTTACTAAGACATACCTACAGGCTTCGTGTAGTTGACCTCTTCAATGTTTCATCGTTTCTTCTGGTCAATTCTATGTCCAGAAATCGAAGTTCTTATTCACTTTTAACTTAAAGTGTGAACTTATTTAAAGGGTTGACCGTTTTCAAATGTTTGCAGAACATAAGTCGAACCATAACTTTCATAATAGATAGTGGAGATGTCGTCTGTAAACGTTTTGCACACTAGAAGCTTGTCTATTGTTGGCTGATAATTACTTGCATTTTCAACAAACTACAGACATTCATCAACAGCTACCTACGCCCGATACTGAAGATCAGATGGCCAAAAAGAATAAGCAACAAGGAACTCTAGCAACGAACAAACCAAGAACCTATCACCCAACAAATATGCAGAAGAAAATGGAGATGGAGTGGATTGGGCATGCACTGAGAAGTCCGACTGGGGACATCACGTGCCAGGCCCTCGAGTGGAGTCCAAAAGGGCAACGACGAGTTGGGCGTCCGAGGTGAGGGTGACATGGAAGAGATTATGTGAGGAAGAAATGAAAGCTTATGGGCAGTCGTGGCACCAGGTTGAGACTGCAGAGAAGGGAGTGCGATGGAGGTGTGCTACTGAAGCCCTATGTTCCACTAGAAACCCAAGGGAAAAAATAATACTAAGGTCTCCAACACTTTTGAAAGCCAATTTTAAGAAAATTAACATTGTTTCACGTTGCTATATTTTTGTCTCTTGTTGTTTTGAAAGTAATTTACAATGAATTTTATGGGATGCTCACTAACCAGGAAATATAACTCTATCAACTTCGGTTCGGTCTGAAGCCTTTTTTAGACTATGTTCACTCTCCACTGTTCCCACCGACTGCCTCTTGTAGACGGTTGGGTAAAAACGATTGAAGTTTGGTTATTGATCATTCAGAGTAGTGTTTCATGCGAATATAAAGAAAACTCAGTTGGTTCTCTTTGAATTCCATCATAAACTTCATGTTATGATGAATGTCATTAAAAATATGAAGCAAGTTTGACGTGTATTGATCATCGTCATCAAAGTATATTATCTGGGTTGCATGATTGAGTGGTAGTAACGTTCAAACCAGATGGACTTCTGGGCTCTGCATAAACTGCACTGTGTTTTTTTAATCTCTAACATATCATTTAACAAAATCACAGTTACTTGATTTCATTTTTTGAAGGTGTCAGGCAAAGATGACACTGGTGGGATACTAGAAATGTCATGGAATCGAGACCGCATTTTCGATAAAGAAGCGGCTATGGTATTTTTGAATCGTGTAAAATCTTGTAAAACTGCAGAGTAAGTCAATAATATTACACTTTTAGTATGCATACACATATTGACGGTTAAGGTGGAGTTCTATCTCGAATTGGCTTATAGGTGCATAATAGTGCGGTCTTCATGGACAAGAGAAATATTTGCCTTGCTCGTTTTCCTTGTCCGGGTGATACGAATAGACAATGAAAATAGTCCTTGATGCCTTGAATTGGTAAATAAACTTATCATAGAAAAGCAATCATTCTTTGTGGTCGCAGAACATTTTGATATTTCAGGCACATTTTAAACGCTAGTTTTCTAACTTTAGTCAGTTCTGTCCAATCATCGGTAGGATATTATAAGTCATAACATCAAACTTTACCTATCGGACGAAGAATGGGTATGATGACTAGGAGATAAGGCAACGGTATTTGAAGCGATAAATGCTGGGTTAGAGCCCCAGCAAGAATTATATCACCCACTGAAACCCAGGTATATTCAATTAGTGAATCTCAAGTGGGACGAAATGCATGTCATTGATTTGACTGCTAGCCACTGTCTATCATTTGTATCAAACTTGAATCAGGAACAATATCGAGGCAATCCACGCAGGAACCCATGTGGTAACACACTTAAATGTATAACATTTATGTGAATAGTATGCATTGATATGCAATTAATTTGGTTTGCATGAGCGCTTAGTGTAACAGATCTTAGAAATAATAGGGGGGTTGTTATGGGCGATCTAATTCGCCGATTCCTCATCATATATACAATCTAGTCTTGATATTAAAGTAATGCTTTCCGTAACGTATGTGCTCTTTCTACCTGTCTAAAGATTGTTTGTTCATTCTTTTTGTGTTTATTTACCTGTTTACGCACCATGAAATGCACACACGATGACATAATCATTTTAAGGTGACAAAGTGAAAGGAAGAGATCAACTTTGATTTAATAGAGATGACGATTGACATTACTGTGTGACAATAGGCGACGATAAGAAACCATTAAATCCTCAAGTAACTGAGTGACATGATCTATTGAATTTGACACGAGCAGTTATGATATATTAACAGATGCTGCATACCGCGGTGCCATGGCATGTACTTCAGATCCGTCCAATCAGCTTTAGATTCAGCAAATGGTAAATGACATAGATAATCTTTAGGTTCTAAGAGTAAAATGTGTTCGAGTCATTGACTTAGATGTTTCAAAATAAAACCACAATTTTCACCGCGCCCAGAGATGCCGTTGTAGTAGGATTCACAGTCGAAATGCAGTCAGCAACCATGTGCACACTCGTACAGTAGGCAGGGAACCACACTTATTATGCGATGAATTAAAGTACCTGACTCACCAAACGTCGATTGATGGGGTAGGGTTTGAACCCGTGAATAACTAATCAAACCTCGAGATTATTTTAACCGTTATTCCTGTCAGACGCAAGGAATCCTGTGAACGCGATGGTAATCGGGTACAGGTAATCATTGGATATCCTTGACTGAGAGAGACCAGGTTTCTTGTGTAGAGAAGAGGTATCTGCATGTGTGAATTGTGTATTATATCTTGTATGGGCAAGATAAAAATTGGGATGATGTCTTAAGAAACTAAGGTTGATATGTGCTGCTCTGTCCTTCAACATGCGAAGTGAAATTTAAACTTTCACCCCAACCACATGAACTTTCAGACTACTTTCGATGAACTACCGCCAAAGATAAGTGAAAATATGAGCTCCTATCAACCATGCAAAAGTACCCTGACCACTGACAGCGAAAACAACATATACCTATCAACGGTGCCTTATGATGTCCAGCAATAAATTTTCTCCTTCGTTTTTACACTGTTCAGTGGATCGAAAGTCAGTTTGGAGTCTGACAGGAAGCAGTATAGTGTTCACATTCTTAAGAGTGCATTCTTTCTAATTGTTTGGTAATTAGTACATTTATCTTTCAAAGTTCTGATGAATAAACAGAAACTTTCTGTAGAATGCGAGAAACTAGCGTAATTTGTTCTCTCATGGTTTAAGGTTTACACTCTACACTATTTACACGTTAAGTCGGTGACGCCGAACATTTTATTCAGGTTATATGAGGATAGTCTCCGGAAACAGTAATATACCATTCACATACCACTTAACAAATCAGGTATCAATAAGGAATATACTACAATGTTACTGGTTTAATGACTCATTTCACAACTTCTAAACCCTTTTGTCTACATTTTTGTTGTTGTAACTGAATAGTATTTTCAGCCCACATAAATGAGTTACACATTGTCTACTTTTTATTATAATCGTGGCTCAACGGAGGTAGCCTATGTCAGCTCTGAACTCTTCTAACCTACAATACTTGGATAACTGGATGTCAAAAATCGGAATAAATTAGGAATGGCTCATAATCTTGTACATAAGAGTTTTAAGCATCGAAAATATGGTTCAACGAAAGAAGTCCTTCTCGAGGAAGATATTTTCGAAAAGTTATACACTCGGTTATTCGTAAATCGCTATTGTGACATGTGTCTGCGTTGATACAGAAGTTGTACTTTATAAAATCGATACGTGGTTTTATCAGAAGGGTAGATACTAAACGGGCTTAAGCAATCTACGAATTCATTCCAGATAGTTTCGAAATTTTTCATAGAAATTAATTACCTTTCAACTATTCTAGTTGTCCTAAGAAATAGCTGAAAATCTAGTTTGGTCGTAAATTCTAGCTAATAAAAGCTTCTATCATTCTGCTTGGTAGGCTAAGTATCGTATTCAAGCATTAAGAAATGAGCCATACTTATATTATTTTAATTCATTTTCTAGAGTTGTACAGGTATCTGTTAAACAAAAAATTAAACCACGTCCACAAGGTCTAAACACAGTCGAAATGTTACGAGTTGCAAGCTCAGGTTTAGGCATTGGACCTCATGCTACAATGGCTATTGCTGAACGACTTTATACATCTGGTTATATAAATTATCCACGTACCGAGACAACTGCCTATCCAAGTACATTCGACTTACGTGGGTTGTTACAGCAACAGGTCAGTTAATTGTACGATAATAATTTTAACCATTGGTTATAAGCTCATTTTCTTCTGAGTTACATATGAAAAGGCGTTTCATCACAAACTTACATGTCTATAGAATCATTAAAAATCAGAAGATGCTTATAATTTGTTTCTATCAGGTTTATAACTCTTTTGGAGTCTATCTGCCCAACTCCCTTGGTTGAGTGCTTAAGCACTTGCTATGAGACTTGAATTTTCCGGGTAAGGACAAACCAACTAATCAATATTTCTTGATCTGCTTTGTTCATTTTGCAACCTTAAGTTATAATTAAAAATACCCTTAAATTATCTAACTTCCCACAAATCACTTAATTCAGTCATTGTTAAGATAATTCAATACGTCTGTTATTTTATGTTGTATTACCACATGAAGAACGATGGAAGTACGATTCTTCTGCTAGTGAACGACAGTAACAGTTACTTTGTAATATGATTTAGTTAGCGCAACTGGTTTCGTGAATCATCGATACACGTAGTAGGCTGATATTAAATAACAAGTAGAATATACAATGGGTACAATACCAGACTAAGAAAATGCACCAACGGTTATGTTTCATTCTATAAGGTGTATCTTACTTGTATCCTATACGATGAATCATACAAACTCGACGCCCAAGTTTTTCTAATCCATCCAGTCCATTGTTGGTCAGGATACGTTCTAACTGATCATATTTGTTGTTTGAAATCGGTTTTTTTCAGTGCAATTTATTCTGTTAGTACTCTGTTTATGTAAAAATTAGTCTTTATTTGTTTAAGCAGTGGTTTTGCTTCAAACTTCGTTTCAACCTAATCCACCAGTGAACCACTCATGCTTGCGTAATACTAGATCACATATATGTTTTACTAGTTAAAACTAAATAAATATTGTCACAATGTTTGAATTTAGCAGGAGAAAATCACATTGTTGACGATGTGGGTTCTGTCGAGTAACTCACATTTCTGGATTTAACCATTCAGTATTCAATCATCCTTCTGTCGTCAAAAAAAGATATAAAGTACTTTAAATATCTGATATATCCTAGTTCATTGTGATTTTCTGTGGATACACTTAACTCACAAAAATAACATCAAGGCAACTTTGATGAAAGTGTTTTCAACTGGTATCAGTCTGGATAAGCGGATCATCGATGGATCAACGAAAACATACACCATGCTGTTTCCCTCACAAATCTTAACAATCATTACGAGAAATCAGTGGCGATAGCTTTTTTTGTTTGTAATGCATGAGTCAAGACAGTTGGTAGGTAGTAAAACTGAATACAGTAAATTGAGGTTTATTTTCAGGCTTACTACAGTAACACGAGAAACTGTTTACAACCTAACCGACAGCGAAAAATAATTTTAAGTCACCTTCACATAGCATATCGTTAACTGACAGAAGTAGGAAATGTAGACCATTGGATTGTGACCTAGTAGCCCAATGGTAACGTGCTGGCCGCGGAACTTGTAGGTCCTCGGTTCGATCCCTGGCGGGGTCGTGGGTGCGCGTTACTGAAGAGTCTCATACTAGGATGAAACAGCCAGTCAGTGTTCTTTCAGTTGATGTTAGTCCATGATGAATTCCAACCTGTAACTCAGTTTAGTCTACGATAGTTGGATGCGGTTTCGAAGCTTGGTCGTTTTTTATTTTCACTATTATGCAAAAGATAACAGATTCGTAGCGAGAAATGATTATCTCTAGATTTTTGATGAATTTTCATATATTTGAAGATGGTTTGAAAAGCCGTCAGATTTTTATCGTAATTGTTAAAAGTTATATTGAAGGTAGAGTTTGTCCTTTGAGTGTCTGGCAAAACCTATGAACTACTTAGTGATCATAAACATCCAGGCTATAGTTGTTGCGAATGTCCTGAAACAAAACTTACCTATAAACTTGGTGATTAGTTTGACAAATACCGTTTCACTCTGAATGATAAAAGTTGCTGAATATCAATGAGCACAAGTTGGTTTAATCAATTTTAATTATATCCCACGTTTCGCATCGTTAATTTTTCCTCATAATTAGTTTTCAAGCGACATCTACTTATTATTACCTAGGTAAACAATCCCGTTTGGGGAGATCTAGCGCGTGAAGTCTTACACTCTGGACTGACTCCCCCACGTGCTGGTCATGATGCCGGTGATCATCCGCCTATCGCTCCAATGCGTTATGCTTCTTCACAAGAATTGGGACATGAAGCCTACCGATTATATGAATTTATTACTCAGCATTTCATTGCTACTGTAAGTGGATTTCATTTGTTGTTATTCCTTTGAAGACAGTTTGCTGAAAGTATTCGTAAACATGCATTCATTCCTTGTCGATGTATATCAATCAACAGGCTGTTTCTGTAATTTCGATAAAACTTACCTTCCTTCTTAAATTCCATCTTACACCACTTGCAACGGTCTTCTCCTCTCAGTACTAAACAAAGGAAACATCTTGTTGCTAGATAGTGACGATAACTTCATACTGGTACTAATTATTGGTGTGCCTATCGTTTTGAAGGTGAATACGGTGCACCTTGATGTCAAGTTACTCAAGACTCACTTGTCACTATGTACTAATTGATCGGTAGATTCTGATCAGTTTTCAGGAGAGAGACTGTGAATAGATTTTTGGTTTTTTGACTAATATATTCATATTTCAAGCAGTTGGTCACATATTGTAATACTGCTCAACCGACAAAGATTTTTAGAACTCAGCGAGAGAATAACATTTGGCTGTAGCTTAAAACCCATAGTATCAAATTACATTTAATTTGATAGTTTAATGCCTGCTGTTCGTCGTAATAGATAGACAGAAACAGGAAAGAGCCAGGACATATATTTATAGTCTCGAACTACTTACCAGCTAGCTGTAGTAAGGATGATGGATAGTGTAATTTCTTAAAGGAGCTATCAGTTTATCTGCAAAAGTTAAAACGTTTAGATACTGTCCCGTCACCAGTTGACTTCATTTCTCAATTGCGGACGCTGAGGTAATCTGGAAAGAATCTCAGAGATTTCCTTGGTGTACTTCAACAATGAACTAATAACTGCAACTATAATTTTCATTTTTGGCCTGACAATCACTTGTTTTCTAGCTCTAAATTAGGTAACAAGCAGGGATACTGTACCACTTGGCGGATACCAAAATAAAGCCAACGATAAACACACTGATCATATTACTTAGCCTCTCGGTAATAGTTTTTTAAAATGTTTTCTGGTGCACCTACTTTAAATTTGATCATGTTCTTTTATGAGTATTTCTATATCTATCTAAACCTGGAAAGGCGCAGGAAGCAAGGTGTATTAAATCCCCTTTATCCCAGGTTTAGAGACCGAAACATCCGATCCGTGTTTACAGAAGAACTAACTAGTCGTTTTTTTTTAAAAAATAAGAGGAATTCTTATTCTGACCAAGCCCGGTATAATATTCAGTTTGCTATGAAGACAACTGTATGGATAGCTAGTAGCCTAAAACAAAAAGCTATTTAGAAATACTGTTTCAAGCCTGCAACTATACGAAGCTATAGAACCTGACAATTTACCGCCAGAAGTCTCTGAGGACGGGTTTGGAAAGTTGCTAGTCATGGCAACTGATGTACCAATTAGTCTATAAGGATCAGGGGAAGTTTGGTCTAGGTGATTGATTGTTTCAGACTGCAAGAGACGGGACAAAGTTTCCTGCGATTTTATAACATTAATAATCAGCAGTAGTTACTATAATAATTGCTTTATTCCAGGCAACGTGTGGTACAATACAGAATTCTCAGCACTTAACATTTAAACAAACTCCATGTGCATTATTTTTAAACGAAATAATTATTGTACATTAACTTCCCGTCTGAACCGGTGAGTGAATAGAAAGTAGAGCAAAATTTTGGTGGTGGTAGTTTATTTAGCCAGTACAGAAATCCGCAATTCGACATAGATATCCTAGGAGTAGCAAAGTGCTGCACTTTTGTGTATTTATAAGTCCATTTCTTACCGGTCTAACATTTTCCCTGTTTTTTTGTTGGCTTCAGAAACTGCAGTTTGAAAACATTTTAAAAGGGTGCGAGAGTTCATGACACGTTTAAAAGACATAGATGATTAAAAAATTGAAAGAGAAGAATCTAATAAAATATTCTGGTGGCCTAATGTTTAAACAGACAGCATATAAACCGAAATATGATAATCAAAAGGAAATCAGTCAAGTTATTCTGGTATCCAAGATACTAGGTCCCACAGTCATTTAGTACTTAAATGAATCTCAAGAAAACCAAATAGGTTTCAAACTTGCAGTTGCTCTATGTCTTAACCTGTAGGTGGTATTTGGTTTTATCAGTCGGGAGGTGTTGTGCCAGTGTTTGATTGTAAGAGGAGTACAGAATAATTATGTTATAATAACTCAGGCAGGCATGTAAAGAAAGGCCTACATAGGTAATAATAAAGTGAGCCGTCTATCAGAGCATCTGGTTAACTCAGAGACTGTAGACGATATAGTCCTGTTCGGGAAAAACGGGAACAAAATTTAGGGTTTTTTTAAATCACTTTCCGTAAAATCTTTAATATATTTAATACAATGACGTTGAAACTGGCGTATATCAAGTCCTAGTTTAAGAATAGCAAGTAAGGTAGTGGGGTACATTAGCTGATTAACTGATCACCAGTCAGAAGTATGTACGTCAGTTTGTGTTGATTATCTAGAGTTATCGAGCCCAAGACGTTGAGGGATAGTTATCGAAATTGATCTCATTAACTCTGTATTATCTTCGAAAATTTGGAAACTTCCTTAATCTCCATTGATCTGGTGTCTTTACTGTCACATCCCTTTGTTTAGGTTACTGTCATTATATTCCTGTTCACTTCTATCTCCCATAATTCCGCAAAGTTTAGCTGCTTTAAATGAATGCTCTTCAGTACAAAACTTGATGTTTACCTTCGTTCGGTAATTTTTACGCAACAGTTGTAGTTCCTAATCTGGTATGAGATAGATAGATATTCCTAAATCAACTACTTATACCATTTTTATTTTGAAGATTATGCCTGACTGTTGTTATGAGCAGACACAAGTGGTAGTGTCGATTGGTGATGGTGAATTATTCACAATTACGGGATTAAGAGTTGTTGAACCTGGATTTACGCGCATTTTGACATGGCAAGCAATGGAGGATAAACCTTTGCCTAAATCACTTGTTCAAGGCTATCATTTATCTTTACTTGAAGAACCAAGTTTAGTTGAAGGTCAAACTGGTCCACCAGATTATTTAACTGAGGCTGAATTAATCACTGCAATGGAACGTCATGGTATTGGAACTGATGCATCAATTCCTACACATATAGAAAATATTGTTCAAAGAGGCTATGTTCAAGTAAGGCCATTTTATTAATTATGTTATTTGCAAGTTTTCGTTATCTGTTTGCAAGTCATGAGTATTGTGTATTACGTTTGTAATAAGTTACTATTGCACAAGGTACATACACTCATTCATCCCTTTTGATGACGAATGCTCCTATAAGATCGCTATCCAATAACCACTGAGAAAATGATAACACATAGAGTAAATAAAATCGGATACTTTTGATGGTGTTGTGTCCTCTGAGCTGGATGGTTTAATCATGAAGCTTTCATTGTCCTTCTGGAAAACATCATCAGTACAAACTTCACCGCAAAACTCGATATCTCATCCATCCCTTTTGACGAGGAATTCTCTTACAAGACTGATATCGAATCAACAATGAGGAATACTTGACAACACAGTAAGTAAATCTTAGCACAAATAAATGATTAGTGAAGACGAATATTAAAGATGTAGGGACATTTAATTATCTTTGTTTTCGTCGAATATATGCTAAAACACTGTATATAAACATGAAACAAATAACCTTGAAAACTACAGTTATTATGTGTCTAATGTTTTGTGTATTTCCTTTCACTATTAGTTCCTTTTCTCTTCGTTGTTTCATCATGTATTAATTTGATACAATGTACCATTCTATCAAGTTTTACCCTGCCTTACATGTGGACACCTTTTTTATCTCTTAAAACTCTCTGAAGACAGTGCTTCATTCACAATCAATAGTGTGCGAAATAAAACTCAAACTTATCTTTGTTGCAATTTTATTGTTGTATTTCAAAATACTCAACATTGTATTTAACTATAATGGGCTGATGATAATTTACTTGGTTGTGGCTAGCAGAAGAATTCAGGACATGCGTTTCGTCCTATTTGGAACTCGTCAGCTGGATGTCCCTCTAAAACTCGAACTCAAGATTATCATTATTTAGGGATGTTACAAATTCACATTGTCAAAATTAGAAGACATACAACCGAACAATGTCGTTTTCAATTAGCTCTCATCAAGGTTAACGCTAATATATATGAATCTCCTCATATATGAAACATTAAACCAGTCATGGTCGATTCTTTAGTCTGTGTTAACTAGGTGTTAGATGTATATTTTTATAAATTCTTGCAGTGTGTGCTTAAGCACACAGTATACCTTTTATAATAAAGGGACTACACTGATTTAACGCGAAACTTTTTCGCTTGTTCATGAAAGTGATAATAAGTAACTTGTAAAACATTTAACGATAATTCTTGTTGATATCATTTTTGTATGCTTCGCATATTTCTTCAGTGCTTTTGTTTCGATATATATTACTTCTCCTATTACATTTTGTTTTACTTACAGCTTATTTCCGGACGTAAATTACAGCCTACACCATTGGGTATTGTGCTTGTTCATGGTTATCAGACAATAGATGCAGAACTCGTCCTTCCACATATGCGTAGAGCTGTTGAAGAACAATTAAATCATATTGCTCGTGGTCATGCTAAATACGATCTAGTATTACAGTTTGTTTTAGCTATATTCGCTGCTAAATATCGTTATTATGTTGAGAATATTAATGCAATGGATCAGTTGTTTGAGGTTTCATTCACTACCTTGGCCAGTTCAGGTAAACCTCTATCTAGGTGAGTTATCATTTTATTTTTGTCAAATATTTCAAAAAATCACCTGTTTTCTATATAGACAAAATCAATGTAGTATCTACCGTATAGTTGTATCGGTTCAAGTTGCCACACTTCATAACAGTCGGCAGATAAAGCGTAATATCAAAGTAGACAAAAGGGAGGAACTTGAAAAGCAAAGTTAGTGAGAAAAAAAAAACCCAAACTATAGAAGATGATTGATGAGAGTGGATGCATCTGCTAAGCTCGTTGGATCACTGTGATATGCAAGCCGAACCACTATATCAACGTAGCAGGTATCCATCTGGATATATATATATATATATATATATATATATATATATATATATATATATATATATATAAAGTAGGGAATATCAGAAACGCTTTATTATTTTTAGTCAGTACTAAGTCTTCAAGTTCTGGGAAATGTGGAAATGAATAGTAGGACACCAAAAGTTTCTAGGTGAGTTTCACTTCGGACAAACACGGTTTTGAATCATGTATCTTTGATCACAAGAAACTGATCCTTTTACTTGTTATTGAAGAACCTTATTTGACTGATATGACTTGGATATATGCTGTTCATGCCAAGCCACCGCCTTCCTCGACGTGCCATGCGAATACGGGAAGTTAGATTAGGTTGTAAGAGAGTTTAGGTAGGCCAGACCAAGAAGTGGCATCAGTTGATGAAATCTGAGTTGTGTGGGGGTGTAAACCTTCTGGTTGAGGTCCTCGAAACGGAAGGAATCAATTTGCTGAAGATTCTCAGTGATATGGCTGAAAACCGGTCACAATGACGCAGATTTATTCACTTCTTGATATCTCCTAAAGCTGGGATATTTTCACTAAACGTAATCTTCAGATTGTTTATTCGCTTACACAACTTTGTGTACTATGATATCACTATCCATTAGAGATGCTCTATGCTATTCCTAATGTTGGTTTGTTTAGGTCGTTCTTATCATCTATTATATGTTATTCAGATTACCCTGTTTAGTATCTCTTGTACGACTAATAAAACAAGGTGTCGCTATTTTCATTGCCAACTTTTCGAATTTGAGTGACTGAAAAGTAATTGTAAAGAATGATAATGAATAAATAGAGTAACAAGGGTGAGAAGTGACTTTATGAATGTTCGTGCTCTGAAGCACATCCCAGTATGAATTCTTTCTGAAGATCATTTAAATTTTATTAAGTCAATTGTATGTTTGTATTACTGTACCATCATATTCACATTCAGGAATTTAATTAAGCTTACGTTACATTTATTTGTAGATAGATTTTCATCGAAATTCAGTCTTTAAGAGTGTATTTCTTTTCTCTATCACACCGTCATCTACTGATCATTTTAATATGTATGCAGTTTTGCAAAATCAAATCACATCTATAAGTTCCATACAAATATTCCCTTCTATGAACTTGAATAGAAACAGGATAATGATAAGAGTAGAGTAACATGGTATCATTTTATATCTCTGATTTCTCTTCAGCCGCTTATAACCTAAAAGTAATTAAATAACATATTACAAAAGAATGAGAACATACGGTTTTTCAGTTACACTAAGTTAACAGGAAATAACATGGTTTAACAGAGAATATACATCCAGATAAAGCTAACAAGTTTCAGTTATGTATCTCAACAGAGAGTTCGAGAGAAGAATATGAATAGTATTGAGAGATTTCGACTAGTTGTTGGTAAAGAACAGACAAATAATGTTATTCTTCAAGTTTGGTATTCATCATGGACTGACATCAATCAAAGGAACATTGGGCAACTGTTTCGTCCTGGTATGGGACTCCTCAGCAATGCGCACCCATCACTTCACCAGAGATCGAACCCAAGACCTTCAAGTTCCGTGGCCAGCACTTTTTCAATGAGCCACTGTGTCGGAATCCAATGGTCCATATTTCCAACTTCAATCAGTTCACGACATAGCGTGACCATCACCCAATGTCATCGTTGAATCCTCACGGCCACCAGGTTTCCCTGGTAGCAGTCAGAGAACCTAAAGTACTCCCCTCCTCCTACCGAAGATGTTCATAAGCTTGTATACATAATTAGACGTAGCATTATAAGGGAACCTTTCGACTTTGGATTGTGCGAAGGAGCCCGTCGTTCTGTATAGAGGAGTCGACTTGGCTGGAGGATACATTCTGTTCAGTGCAGTTTTCAGCCTTCTCTAAATTCCTCCAGAGACATCGTCACCTATGAAGTTGAGTTCACTGCCTATATCCAACATGTCGTCGCTGAAGCTTAATGTGACAATGTAGCTTAAAAATATTACAATAAATGCTGATTTCGTACTTTTTGAACGCAATAATGACCCTCAACATCAGTCAAGCGACATAAAGCTTAAATGGCAACATGTCGGATACCGGCAGTATTTGCCATCAATAAAAATATGTTTTTTGCTTACTGTAATTTGCTTTAATTTATTGCTTTTAGATCTTCCATAGTTACTGGTAAACATCTGAGAGTAACAGTTGTCTCAGACAGTCTTTTCAACACTCAGAAAACCTTTCAACTTACCACTTGAGCATATCTTTTTAGTCGTATAAAATAGTGTTTTGACCAATTCTAGTTTAAAACTGATTAGACAAAAGCTGTTGAAATTTAAATATAATCCATTCCATGTAATCTTTTTATGAATAAACATTTAAAGTGTACTATAATTCCTACTTTGCAAGGTGATTTCTTCAATCGTATGTTTAGGTGTTGTCTTCTCACAGTTAGCCGTAAAGATTTTTGCCAGTTCTGCGCTCATCTTTGCCTATTGCTACTCTAGCAATTTGGCGGTATAGAGTATTATCGAGCTGGAACTGAATCTGTTTGTTGCATATTGACAGAAAGCATCTGAATTCCGACATCGGTAGAGGAAGGAGTTTGAGATGTTGACAAATTATTTTTGCAGTCTCATGAATAGGAATCTTCAGGAACAAAGAAACGACATCAAATGACACTATAAACTTATTAGGAGTGGTAATTTGACTTGTTTCTTCAACGTACTGAATTAAATCTTTCAGGGTGAAGTTTATAGCTAACCACGTCGAACTCACCTTAGAATTTCTAAACTTAGTTGGCCTCATTGTTATCCCTGATAGCAGCTCTCTATACGCTTTTGTGATTGTTAGAGTGGTTCATGACAGCAACGTTTGTTAGGAAGAATATCCAATTAAATCTGGTAAATTCAACCGATTTGCACTTTCAATATTCCAACCGTAATAGAGAATCTTTTAAACAGTCGTAGATCAGAACTGTTCTGAATACAAATTCAGATATCTGTCGATCAGTACTGAAATGATCTGCTGGAATCAATCATATCCGTAATTATAAACTGTATTAGAAGGAGAATGTAATGAAAAGGTAGTGGCAAAAAAGGTTTTCTATGTCAGAACTGGAGGTTGCTAGCATATATTTTAAGCAATCCACAGATTTACTAAATTTTCATGTGTTTCTTTTTACTTTTAGATGTGGTAAATGTCACCGATATTTAAAATTCATCGACTCCCGGCCACAACGTCTTCATTGTTCAATATGCAATGAAACATATACACTACCGCAGAATGGTACAATCCGACCCTATAAAACTGAAAAATGTCCATTAGATAAGTTTGAATTATTATGTTGGTCTCAAGGTTCTAAAGGCAGGGTAAGCTTATTCATACTCTTTATGAAAATTGAAACTTAGACAAATTTCGCCTATTTTAAAATAAATGTCTATACCACCTAAAAACCTCGCTTGGTTAACTAGTTCACTAGTTACCAGCCGGTCCTAAGCCTGGGTAAATAGGGAAGGTTGGGCATAAGGCTAGCAACCCTACCCCCTGAAACAAATCTAACCGCTAAACAAACTTCAAAGCACAAACAAAATATAAAAAATAAAAACAAAATTACTCTTCGCTAGAATCGGAGAGGTGAAATGACACCGGCTGGTGAAAGCCTTCGAGAAGCCAATTGGCCGATGTGTCTTCTCTTGATGAAAGCGAAAGTAAACTTGGGGACATGGAATGTCCGCACGATGTTTGAACCCAGCAAGGCAGCCCAGATTTCAAACGAGATGAGGAGGTATCATATTGAAGTGCTTGGAATTTGCGAAAGCAGATGGAATGGGAGTGGACTCTCCAAACTGTCAACTGGAGAATCAATAATCTACTCCGATATTGTCACCCAGACGACAGCCATGAGCACACTGAGTTTCGGAGTGGCTATCGTGATGTCCCCAAGAGCATCGAAGGCTCTCACGCAGTGAGAACCAGTCTCCTCCAGGATCATGACAGCAAGATTCAACTCAAAAGGAAGGAAGGTCACAATCATACCATGCTACGCTATGCACCTACATATAATGCAGATGAAGAGAAAAAGGAGGAATTCTACAGACAACTTCAATGAACACTGGAAAAGACCTCAGTTAGCAATATCAAAATTTTAATGGGCGACATGAAGGCCAAACTGGGAGGGGACAACACAGGTAGAGAACTAACCATGGGTGGAGAAGCGCTCGGTGAGGTGATGAACGAGAATGGAGAATTGTTTGCAGAATTCTGTACATTCAACGATTCGGTGATTGGAGGCAGTGTGTTCAAGCAGAAGGATATCCACAAAGCGACATGGATTTCAACAGACACCAGGACACACTAAAAATTTGATCGACTTTATCTCAATCTCAAGAAAGTGTAGACGCAGTCAGCCTACTTGGCACAAGGTCAAGAAGAGGAGCAGATGTAGGTTCACACCACTCACTATCTAGTGCAAGGAACCTTCCAAATCAAGTTGAAAGTCTTCAAGGAAGCTGGTGATAGACTGCGGTTCAAGTACAACACTCGGAAACTGAACTGAAGGATGAAACTACAAAGGAAATCTTCACGGCAGCCAGCCATCAAGACAAAATGGGAGATATCGAGGAACATCCCTGAAGAAATCTGTGTGGAAGAACACTGGAAGTCTTTGAAAGCTATGTAGAAAGAAACCTGCAGAACCGTATTAAGAAGGAAGAAGATAAGGAATAGATCTCGATGGATACATGGAAGCTGATAGATGAGGGAGAGGAAGTTGGTGATGGTGAAGCAGAAGATAAACTAATGCAAGGATGCACAACGAGAAGAGGAACTGAGTACAATGTTTAAAACACTACACTGGACAAAGAAGTGAAGAAGAGTGGGTGGAAAGACAAAAGACACTTCTACGAGACACTGGCAAGTGAAACAGAACAGACAGCTGGTAGGAGAGACAGAGACCTGACAACATTGTATTAAATAACCAGGTTGCTATTAGAGAGGAGATCAACGCAGACGAAGCCAATAAAAGATGATGAAGGAAATTTAATTATCAAAGAAGAGATACAAAGGAAACGATGGGCCGACCACTTCGAAAAGCTCTTGAATTGACCACCACCTGCACTTCGTCCAGAAATACCACCTGCAGCCCAGACACAGAACTACAAGTGAACATAAATCCTCCAACAAAAATGGAAGGCCTGAACGCCATAAAGCTACTGAAATGTGGGAAAGCAGCAGGACCAGATGAAATCTCACCAGAAGCACTGAGAACAGACGCAGAGACAACAGCCGACATGCTCACACCACACCACTATTGCAGAAGGTGTGGAAGGAAGAGAAGGCGCCTTGAGATTGGATGAAGGGCTACCTTGTCAAACTCCCGAAGGAGGGCGACCTAAGTCCTTGCAAGAACTGGCGCGGAATCCCGCTCCTGTCCACCCCAAGCAAAATATTAAGCCGCATCATCCTGGAGAGACTAAAGGATGCACTTGATTCGAAATTACTACCGGAACAGGCTGGCTGGGTGGCTTCAGGAAGAACAAATCATGTGCGGACCAAATTGCAACGCTTTGCATCATCATAGAACAGAGTATAGAATTGCAGTCGACTCTCCACCTCAACTTCATCGATTTTGAGAAGGCCTTTAACAGCGTCGACCGAGAGGTAATTTGGAAACTGCTTCAATACTACGGAATACCACAAACCTTTATCAGCCTCATTCAACAACTATGTGAAGACGCCACATGCCAAGTAATTCACAATGGGAAGCTCACTGATGCTTTTGAAGTGAAGACAGGAGTGAAACAAGGCTGTCTACTATCACCTATGATATTTCTGATTGTGGTCGACTGGATCATGCAACAAACATTGAGGAGTGAGAAGAGGGGCATACGCTGGCTAAACCGCGGAAAAGAACCTACAAGACTCGGATTTCGCCAAGGATGACTTGTGTCTGATGTCATACAAACTTGAAAATCTACAGACGAAAACTAACAAGTTTTCAGAAGAGGCAGGGCAGCGAAGGAAGACGGGACTTCAAGCGAATATAGAGAAGACAGAGGTAATGAAGCTACCCAACCAACAACTCTAACAGCAACAACAAACTCCAGTCACCATCAGCGGGAGAAACTTAAAGGAAGTAGCCTCTTTCACCTATCTAGGAAGCACTGTTTCAACTACAAGTGGCGGCGCAGACGAAGATGTCGAAGTCAGAATCAGAAAAGCAAGACAGGCGTTCATTAGCCTGAAACCAATGTGGAGATCTTCTGCACTCCATTCAGCATGTGGAACGAGATCCGGATTTTCAGCACCGTCAAGTCAGTGCTTCTGTATGGTTCAGAGACTTGGCGCGTTACGAAAGGGATTTCCAATAAAATACAGACATTCATCAACAACTGCTTACGCTCGCTACTGAAGATCAGATGGCCAGAATAATAAGAATAAGCAACAAGGAGCTCTGGGAACGAAGCAACCAAGAACCCGCCGCTCAACAAATATGTCGAAGGAAGTGGAGATGGATTGGACTGGGCATACACTGAGAAGACCAACTGGGGACATCACGCTTCAGGCCAGTTCGTCGAGTGAAGCCCTGATGGGAAGCGACGAGTTGGGTGTCAAGTCGAGGGTGACATGGAGGAGATCGTGCGAGGAGGAAATGAGAGGTTGTGGGCTGTCGTGGAGCCAAGTTCAAAAGATTTCAGGGAAGAGAGTGGAATGGAGACGTGCTACTGAAGCCCTATTTTCCATTAGGAACCCAAGGGACAAATAAAATAATGCCACGTAAAATGTTTGTTATTAGTAAAATGGTTGATTTAATAGTGATTGTTGTTATTCGATATCATCTAAAGGGTTATCTCTAATTTCTAAGTATGTTTCTTGCCTGTTTTCGATTATTCAGTAATTCATACTATTGATTTGTTTTTGTTCCAACCGAATTCTATGGTCAAGGTCTTTGGGTTACACTTCTCTAAGTTGTTCGCTTGACACTTCATCTTTGACATCAAGCTTCTACATGATCCAGATTTTATTTTACTATCTCATCGTCTGAACCTTATCGCTATGGGAATATCATTGTTTTTAGCTTTTTGTTTGCACAGTTATTGATGCCTATCACTATCGTAATATGAGGTTCAGAAACTTCAAATGACATCAAATTACCATGTCTTAATTTTTGAAGATTTTTTCCAAAGTGATAGTATTTGTTGTAATCAAAGCTTACCATGGCTAGACCTTGTGTAACTGTAAACATTTTACATTACTAAACTGTCGTAGAAGTATACTGTATGATTTTTACAGTAGAAGTAACATAATGATAGGGAACCGAATTTCCTCTTTGACATCGAACAAATGTTATGTGTGTACTCACAGTACACATTGATTGCAGCATGAGCAGCAAAAAGTGGACCACACAAAATAATGTACAAACAGAGTGAAGAGAATACAAAATAGGTGAAACGATAAACAGATCTGAGAATCAGTTATTTTTTTTAGGATTTTCAACAAAGCTGAAGTCACGGTCAATGCTGTCCTAGACCCTGAGTAATAACGAATAATGTCTAAAGCTACTATGTATCACGGTTTTTCGAACCCTGTCCAGAGAGTCGTGGTTCACCAGCAAATGATGACTCAGCACAACTGTCTTTATTTTCTGCAGCTGCTTCATAGATTGATGACCTTGCCACTCCTTCGAAACTCTCTAGGAGCTGTCACATTCAATAGATGATCAACAAGAAGCATAGTGTCTATCATTATAGTTCTTAACAGACATTTTTATCGCTAATATGAATTTACTGAAGTGCATTTTCTTTATTTCTCTTGTTAGAATATGATTTTTTGTCCGTATTGCTTTTCTCATCCACCATTTGAATCAATGCCAAAAACATCTGCATGTAGTAGATGCCCTCATCCAACGTGTCCCTTGTCAATGGAGTCATTGGGTGTAGATGCTTGTCCTGATTGTCCGTATGGTATTCTTGTTTTAGATGATTCTAATGCGCCAAAATATCGTTTGAACTGTAATCGGTTAGTTTTATTTTTGGATATATATTATCTACCGAAATTTTGTGTAAACTAAGACACCTTTGCGTGTATAGGCTAGCCAGATGGGTACGATTTTCTTCATTTTAATATACAAATGTTCTGCATTTTACTTTTTGCAAAAGACCTACTCTACAACTCGAGATTTTTCTGCTTCGTTTCTGTTTTCATCAGGAAAGAGGAAAATTTAATTCAATTAGCTTATTTTTCAAAGTAGCTACAAATAAGTACCGATCTATTTATCGGTAGTGCGAAGCTAGGGTGAACTGGTTTAGAGACTTGGCTTTCAAGTTTTTCCAAACTAAGGTTTCAACATTTAGGTTTTATGTCGACGGTTATCTGACAATTGATATCATTCACTACTTAGTGTACGAAAGTGTGATTGTTTGATTAGCTGCATTGATATACTGCTCTACTCAGATACAAAATTAAACCTTCTAAATAGCATCCAGGTGGTGATAAACAGCAATTTATTCATGTGTAAACTGTTTATCAGTAGGCTTATGTTTGCCTCCTACATGTACCGCCTACGTTATAAAGTGGGTATTGAGTTACCACAGACTTACTTAAATTGAAACTATAGATTTCTGACTGTTTCACCTCCCACTTACTAGTCCTTGTTAGTAAAATAAGAACAAGATTTTTGTGTTGAATGGAAGTGCTGACGGCCAGGAACATACTGGTGAACCACTATACATTCACTTTGATTGAGAAATTGGTGTCACCACGTGAGTAACGCAGACGTCGGGTGTAGAGTTTTAGGTAGAAGAGGTAAGTCAGTTGACACGGTTGTGAACCTTCATCGACTGAGATAGTTGGCTCCAACATGTATTACGTATGCCTAGTCACCGATCGCCTCGTCACACAACGTTGGAAAAAGGCTCTGGCGGTGGGACGACAGAATGAAACATGACATCAGTGTATGAAGTCTTTGACTGTTGATTTGAGCCATGTAGGACGATTCAGACTAGGTGGCTGGGGTCCACGGGACAAGAGGAACCAGTGATTGGAGACTAGGTGATATGGCCCAGAACAGATGTCAGTGGTGCAGACGTATACACAGATTATCCTCATCCTAACGACACTATACCGAATCTCACCACTTTCTCATTCTTCCTTTCTCTCTTTTAGTACTTTATGTTTATTTCGACTGAATTTCCTTTTCTTCATCTTCCACTTCATTTTACTTGATGTACTGATATGAGCTGTGGCAACTCGGACCATTACGCAGTAATGCCTGGTCCCATGTTGATTTAGATGGATGGGTGATTGAGAAAATGCTGATGTTTGATTAATTTTTAATGAAGTTTGTGTACTGAAAACAGAACATGTATGTAATCTTGATATTCAAAAATAACGAGTCATGGTATACTTGTATAAATTATCTGGTTCTAGTGTTTGGCATATTCACGGTTGATTCAGTAGCTGATAAGTGATTTGTCTAACAAAAGCTTGTTTAAAATATACCGAATAAAATTTGGAAACTTGGATTTCAAAATAAAGCTGATTAAAATGTGAAATGTCATAGTGGTAAACAAAAGTAGCAGTAATGACTTCGGTAAGTTTTTTTTTTAACATATTCTTCCACGATAGTGTGATTGTACTTACACAGTGATAACGTTGTTTGTCTTTTACTGACCGTTAGTTCTTCTTTCTTGCCTATCATTGGTTGCTAGTCAAAATGTTTACTTTATTATTCATTAACTCAATTAAAATGAAGACGCAATATCGACTATTAATAACTTTGTACTATACTCATAAAACATGTACTTTCTTTTCGATTAGCTGTGATTATCTTACATCTAGTGATATGTTTATATACTTATTCAAACATAACTGGTTTTTGTTTCAGGAAGTCATCATAGCTTTCGATATTTACCAGATTCTTTTTTTATTTTATTACCATTCTCATAGGTGTCCAACATTCTTATCTGTTTCTGACACTGTGAAAAGTATGTCCGTGAAGAATGTCAGTTGTTCTGTTTGTACAGCTATGCATCTTAACCTGAAGCTTGATGCAGTAAGTTAAAACCTATATTTAATGAGCACTGGATATTGAGCTCTAGTATTCTATAATAATAATCGGCAGTTGTAAACATTTATTGGTGCTATGACAGGCTGTTACTTAACTACTATACGATAATAGTGAAGTCTTTTATTCATAGAAATTAATTGACCAGTTGCTACTTACATATTACTTGGGACTGATTATCCGTTATTTGAAAGTTGAATCGTAATTATTTTAATCTTGGTCATGTATTTTTATTTCAGTAACTGTCATAATCTATGCGTATTCTTGAAATGATGGGAAAGACTTGTAGCTCAGGATGAGGATAGTTCAGTGTTTTCTAAGCTTTGGTGAAGTTGGGATGAGGGTCCGTGGGCATAGTTGTACTTCTGATCAGACGGGGGTGTGGTGGCAGTACAGCATTCCCCTTGGATGACCAGCAGCGTTACGTTGTTGCTGTCATCCCCATGGGAAGAGGGCGGTGGTTTAGACAAAATAAGTTTAAGAAATAGTACACTTACCTTTACCCCATCGCTCGCAGTCTTGCAGGTGTAGCACTGACCACTAGGACAGAAAGTTCTCTGCTCGACTGGATCCCAGTTGACAGTCACCTATGCGCTGTTCGACTGAATGTCACAGCGAGGTCTAAAGGGAATAGTGGAACTTGCTGCTGTCTCTTTGTATTCTCCCCTTACGCACCCGCAGACTGCAGCTCGTATGAAGTAAAAGATGAGTTCTACTGGAAACTGTTTAACCTCATACTAAACGCTTACACGTGGTATTTATTGCAGGTGACTTCAATGCACAAGTGGGTGGAGTAAGTCAGGAAGAAAGGCACTTAAGTAGCACTTCCGAAATCCCACCAGAACGAACAGATAACGATAATCGCCTGCTACAGCTGCGCCCAGACGATCGTCATTTTTTGCCTAGCACAAAATTCAGACATAAAGAGAGACATTGTTTGACTTAGCGGACACCGACCTTAGGTCAGCCGAGACACTGACAGACCATATGCTGCCAGTAAATGCTGGAGTAGGTCGATGGAAGATTCCAGCTCCTTCTTGAGCACGTGTTTGTACAGAAACCACTCTTTGGTAGTGTGTATGTCTGCGTCTAAATGGAAGCAGAAAAGTTACAGGGACAAAACAATTGCGAAGGCAGTTCGACAATGAGTAACCGATCGACCGAACCTCTCGGAAAGAAACGACTACTTCTCGCAGTCGATATAGGATCTTAAGGGATGTTTGGTATGAGTTTTTCCAACGTAACTCTGAAGCTGAATTAAAACATTTTCACGCTAACACGTTTCCAGTCTTTTGTGCAAACTCGAAAGGTAACTTCAATTTACTTGTATTTACGAATACAGCCTAATTTTTTCACTGCTGTATAGTTGTTGTAAGGTAGTTTATAGGGCGCAATCTTTTGAAATATTGGTTCATTTGATTCCAATTCTTGGGGGGACTTTAAAGGTCCCCTGGTAACTGCTAAAATAACCAGTCAGGTTTCGGTATGCCGGCCTGAAAAGTGGTTTGTCGTAAAATAAATAAATGCAGTTGGCTATCTCGTCAGTTGCTAGGGTTGCCTTTAAGGTCACTCATTTCTTGGCGCAGAATTATCAAATGAAAGTAAACCTACATATCGTTTCACTTATTCCTAGTTCAACACTACAATTGTTAGAAAATAATTTTTAAAATCCTCCCAATATTCCGATTATCAACAATTATGTATTCCTAATCTAATGAATAGAATAGTAAAACTGTTCGTAAAAACCTTCAGTACTCACCTTTGCATTGGTTGACTGTTTTTAACATAAACATCATGAAACCGATTTTTCTATTAACTATGTGGTTTCTCATTTCATGTAGAAAAGAAGACTTCTGTCATCAAATACAATTTCTGGGTTGCATAATGGGTCCTCTTACAAGTTGCAAATTTCATAAGTAATTAGTCGTGGTCATCGCGAACTTTATCGCAGTTATCATCAAATCAAGTTTTTCTCTGTTGTCTTGGCAACTAAAAATAGGGCAATACTGGAAGTTACATTTAGAAGTTTGTTGAAAGCTGCATCTAGAAAGTATAAGCATACTACAACGGATGACAACCTGAGGAGACAAATTGACTACTTGTATATATATGACTGAATCTGTCACTTCATGACTAAGAGGAACAGAATAAATTTTTATCGCACTTGCTGTATTCCATTTTCAGACTAAAATACCTAATTCCACCGGAGAGGATAATTCAGAAAAGATTGGTGCCTCATTCTCTGGTTGTGCATTCTGTACAGAATCACTCTGTTCACTTTTCACTATTGTGAGAAGGAAAGAACAACCAAATAATTCCGAAACAAGTTTGCGTGGTACGCGTCATCGTTCTGGACCTCGACAACGTGGTGGTAGGAGAGGACGTGGTTTTCGATAAGTATTAACACCATACCCAATACTCACATTTATTAAAAGATCTATGGATGTACCTTGTATACAGTGGTATTTATAATCATATTACACTGTACATAGTCATCATTTTGTTGTTCTTTTTACACACTTTCCATTTTTACCTATTGGCAGCTACTTATATTATTCGCCAAGATATACATTCTAGTTATGGGTTCAACAATTCGCATTTTTTATTAACGAGGATGATCGACATGAACTGTTATAGTGTGCAGTAAGACTGCCATAATTTTCATGAAAACCTTAAATCTCTGAAGACTCACTAACAATCGTGCATCATCAAAGTTTCTAGAAAAAGCACGTGAAACAAAGTGTAAATACCAGGTTGATTGAACAGGCAAACTCAATAGGATATAGTTCCCTAGAAAGGCCAAGAAATAGTCAAGGCAATTGTAAATTTATATAAAACGCTATATTTTGTATATATTTGACGTTGCAGTATGACTTCTGTTACCTTACCGCCTTTCCATTTAACGAGGAACTAAACGACCATCAAGGGTAGAATCTGAAGGTTATTGTATAAGTCTTCACTCTCATATACATTCAGCTTAGGCTACATTAAGTAACTATATGGATAAAACAAGCAGCGACACGTTTATAACGTATCTATTAAGATCAGTAGAGATTTTGCATGAAGGAAAGACAGACTAGCTGAATAATTAATATGAATCAGCAACTTTCGTCATTTAAGTCTATAAGGTTTAGAGAGAGGTGGAGAAGGTATCGGTGCAAGGTAACGCCCTGAGACTATTTAGGCTTATATTAGACACACGCTGATAACCTTTCAGAATAGGCGCCTAACAGGTAGAGGTACTAGGTATTGTATAGAAATGAGAGAAAGTGCCGTCAGACTGATATACTCCACTGATCATCGAGGTCGACAGGAAGGGAGATAAATCTTCCTGTGATAACCATACAGGAATTAGTTTGACTAATAGTGTGTCCAAGATCCTTAGGTTCATAGTTATCTGATGCCCAAGTGGAGCTTGAGAACAGCGAACTCGAGAAAATTAGGCAGTTGTCGACAGAGCTGGGCAAGGGTGCATCGATCATATTTTACCGTCTGACAAACTCTGGAACACACGCTTACCTACCCGCAGCCAACACTTCTAGACCTGAAAGCGACATTCGACTCTATCGACCGTGAGGTGTTTTGGCAGCATTTGACGTTCGTGGGAATACGGAAGAAGTATGTAACGCTAATCAGAGATCTCTACTTAAACTCCCATGTGTAACGGCTTATGGAGGTTTGTTATCTGAAATGACAACTAGTGGTATCCATCAAGAATGCTCACTGTCACCGTGCCCATTCAATTTCGTTACAGATCTACAAATGGATATAACACTAGGTACGTCTGACTTCACGCAGATTGACCTACTCCCTGCCGGTTATCTGGTGGACTAGTAGTACGCAGACGATATTGTCGTGCTAGGTGAAGACGCTGAAAAAATGCAGCATCTTCTAGACGCGTTGGGCACAAATCTGAGTATGTTTGGCATGCGTTTTTGCTGGATCGTAAGATGATTCTCCAGGACTTGTCTGCTGCAACCACTACGTTTAATGATAGGCAATGAAGTGGCGGAATGTGTCGACCACTTAGCTTACATGAGTGTTTGCATCATCTCGAACAGACTGGTTGCTGACGAAATCTCAGCTAGGATACAGAAGGTCCGTTTGGCATTCACCAACTTGCATCACCTGTGGCGCCGACTGGCGATATATCCAAGTATCTGCCGACGGACGAGTATATTGCGCTGCAGTCCGTTCATTCCTCATGTACGACTGTAAGATATGACCATTAGAAGTAGAAGACATAGAAAAAAACAAGGTCTTGATCACAGATGTCTTCGCAGCATTCCTCGCATTTGGTGGAATCACCATGTGAACAACTATGAGGTCAGGTGAAGAGTATTAGACAAGATAGAAAAGTCGATTGATGAGGTTGTGAACCTCAGTCAACTGAGATAGCTTGGATATTTAATGCGCATGGTGGGCTACCGTCTACCTCAACGTGCCATGCTGGTAGGGGATGTTGGATCCAATTGGAAGAGAGTTGAGGGTGACCAGAACAAGATGTGGCACCAGTCGATGAAGTCTCTGACTGTTGGTCTGATTCGTGTGAGCAGATGAAGACTCGTCGGTTGGGCCCCAGTGACGATAGTAATCATTGGTTGAGGACTCTTGGTAATATGAGCGAAAAATAGGTGACAGTAGCACAGGTGTATTCACTCTCTGACATCTAAAGCTTGAGCATTCACACTAATCTATGCCCTCAAATTGTTTATTCTCATACAATTTTGTTTACTTTGATGTTATTCTTTTTCTATCTACCTGTTCTTTATGTACTACTGTAAGGTGTAACAACTTGAGCCGATACACCTATGTACAGAGTTCTACGTTGCTTCTGTCAGTCATATTGTTTAGAACGTTGCATTTCTTGGAAAATTCCAACTAAAAAATAATTTGCGGGTTTAAGACATCTTCCAAGCGTAAGTTCGGTTACTTGTAAAACTCTCACTATTGGTGACAATTTATAGCTTTAAAAATCCAGATTACGACCTTACAAATGCTCTGCTAAAAGGTTCCATAACAGGTTTTCCATGTTTCTTCAACTGATATCAGTCTATGATGAATACTATTTTAAATATATGTTTAGGTTTTATGAACGCTTCCTCTTTCATTTGAATTGTTTTCACTGCAGATATTCTGTTTAATTACTAAATAGTAAAAGAGGTACTGATTAACAATTTGTTTGTTTATCTAAGAATAGTTTGCTTTTGAAAGATGTACTGTGATAAGATCGAGTCATCTAACTAATATCATCTTTTAAATTTTGAGGGGGTTGTGGAGATTTGGAAATATTTCAAGTTGTTATTCATCGAAGACTGACATCAGTTGGAGGAACAAAGGAAACCTGGGAGCACTGGACAGCTGTTTCGTCCTAGTATGGGACTCCTCAGCAGTGCGCTATATCGTGAGCTAACAGAAGTTGGAAATATGGAGCATTGGATTCTGACCCAGTGGCTCAATGGTAACGCGCTGGTCGCGGAACCTGAAGGTCGCGGGTTCGATCCCTGCTGGTGGGGTCGTGGGTGCGCACTGCTGAGGAGTCCCATACTAGGACGAAACAGCTGTCCAGTGCTCCCAGGTTTCCTTTGTTCCTCCAACTGATGTCAGTCTTCGATGAATAACAACTTGTAATATCATCTTTCTAGAATGGTCAAATTTACTTATTTATTATTCTTTCCGAAGTAAATAAACTTCCAAAGTTTTGTTAAATTACTAGACTCTTGTAATTTTGTTGTATGTTAATTCATCGTAGCAACACTATGATAGGTATGATGAACAGATATAAAAAATTAACCAATTTTTAACAAGGAAGTTATGTTGTTCAGTTATTACAAATTATATGAAGAAATGTTTCATAATAAAAGAAGATGAAAATTAGAATGATTAGTGTAAAAAGTATAAATAATATATGCATAAAATAGTCTATTCTATAATTTTCTTCATTCTCATTAAAATAAAATATATTTTTCACACAATACAAATGTCAATGATGTGATTCTATTATTATTCACAAGAATAAGAAAAAAAAATTAAAAAAAAGAAAAAAAAGTCGAAGTAACAGAATTTATTATTTTTAAAATGATGATATGATGAAAGACTCCATAGAATATAACGCTTACTTTCTGATTTCATCTACTATTTCCTACTCACAGGTAAATTTAGAAGAAGAAAAAACATCCACTTAGTTTAGCGAACATAAGCAAAATGACTTTTAAATGTATCAACAAGATTGTATTTCTTTTTTGAAGAAGAAGAAGAAGAAGAAGGAAAAGGCTGCATATAACACAATAAAAAGTAAACAACAACAACAACAAATAAAATGCAATAAAAGTGATTATCGATGAAAATTTAAAGGAATAAGTATATGCAGAAATTATCGATTAGAAGTACTTTTATAGTATATATGTAATTTATATATGCACGTAAATGATAAATCATAAATCCTGAAAGTAGTTGTTAACAAATTTAAAATTAGTATAAGTGAACTGTCAGTTAATTTATCAAAATGTATAGTCTATGAAATATTTCAATGAAACACTTAAAATGATATCATTATCAATAATACAGTCAGGATCTTAAAACTGATCTCTTTTTTTAATAAAAAAAAAAGAAAAAAAATAATAATAATTAAACACTTTTATTTCAATAGTGTAATAAGAAGATGTAGATTATCTGATCACAAATGGAATCATCGAACTATTTATATGAAAATTTAGCAAAAAAAATCAATGAAATCAATAGGAAATAGGAAAGGCAGAGAAAAAGAGATAAAATCTTAATCATAATACTCTTGGTATGAAAATTAAAATCAACTTGAGTACAAATTGTTTTTGTATATATAAAGGGGGGGGGGGGGGGGTTGAATTTACGGATGCCAACAGCTTCCAACCTCCCTTATGTATACAAAAATAATTTGTACTCACGTAGTAGTAGTAGTAGTAGTATTGATTTTAATTTTTATACCATGAGTGATGTAATTTAGATTTTACTTTTTCTCTGCTTTTCCTATTCGCATGTTTTCATATAAATAGTTCGATAATTCCATTTTTGATCAGATTGTTCAAAATGTATAGGGCTAATACACCGCATGTTTCAGATTATCTTTATCTTCTTATTACGTTGTTTAAATTTATCAAACAGGGCCAGTTACCTTGGTCTTTCATTTCAGATTTACTTACGCATGATAGAACAATACAAGGTATTTATTTATTTAGCATTCCACTAATGAAGTGATGCTTACTTGGTTAGTGGAAATAAGTACATATCTTGTCAACACACAAGAAATTTTACCATTCTCTATCCATTCGGTACAAACAAATATTCCAGAATGATACGCATATAGCGTGAGGTCTACCTCGACGTGTCATGCTACTAGGGGAGGTTAGAAGACGACTTAAGGTGGTCAGATCAAGACGTGACACCAGTCGATAAATTCTCTGACCGTGGTCTGACTTGGATGGGGTCCTGGTGACGATAGGAATCAGTGGTTGAGAATTCTTGATGACAAGGTTGAAAAATGAGGTTATTCACTCTTGCACGTCTTCTTAAGCTTGAATATTCGCACCAACCTTTATCGTAAGATTATTCATTCTCTCACACTACTTTATCTGCTTTAATGTCATTCTTTTTCTATCCTCGTGTTATTTGCGTAGTACTGTGTAGTGTGACAACCAGAATCGACGCACCCGTGTGCGAGGTTCTACGTTGAATTATTTGTCAGTCAGTCAGGTCTACTTCACCGATGCAATGTTTGAGTCGGGATACATACCAAGCATAATGTGAGAGAATACAAAATATGGCTGATCAAGGTTTAACTCTCTCGACGATACAAAGTACAGCGAAGTTATAACTGTGAGACCTAACTAAACATTTACATGAATCTGTCGGTTACTTCCTCATCTATCGATTGCAAATGTTCAAGTAAAGTGTATAATTTTTTTTTCAATCCCATGTATATCATCTATCAGCTTAGCAACAATCTGAGTAGTGAACCACATCAGGAAATTTTATATACCCCCTTATTCATGGTCGGTTTTTAAGACTAGTACTAAACATATTACAAATAAACTGAATTTCTTTCGTGAAAATAACTAGTAGTCTGATGTGAAATGTATTTAATCTAACAAGTAATACCTCTGTGTTAAAAAGAAGTTCGTATTGGATTTGCCTTCAATCGTTTAAGACAGATTAATAAATAATTTTGGGTATATCCTATTTTGTACAGCCATTTCCCGACAACACTGTTTACATAATCACTCCACTTCAATCATATCTAATATCTTTAAGTGTTTTACTTCAGTTTTTCGAGTTTTCAATTGTACGGAATGCCTAATCGTTTCTTTTTCCCCCGCATTTTAAGTATTTCTTGCACTATTAATACCTAGTGACTGTAAACAACTAAAGGTTTCCATTTCATACATCAAAAATTAAATTAAATTCAAAGGTAGTCTTTCCTATAATGTTTCGTAAAATTCTAAAGTTATGAAATTAAATTTGCTGCTTATGAGTAGGTTTTTATTGTGCTAGGCGCTCGCCTATCATACGGATAGATCACTTCACATATTGGTAATCTGTGAAGACAGAAGATTCAAGGATACACTCGAAATTCACTAGCCTTGATTAATTACTTTTGTAATACTATGTCTTATTCAGAAAATCGACTGAAGATATCATATATTTCACTGGGAAATCACTTCCCATTCTCATAGTCATTGTGCACCAAACACAAAAGAATACTTCTTAAAATTTAACTAATTAACAAAATGCGATGAAAAACTAGTAAATGACAAGTAATTGAAAGAAAATTTCCTTTTTGATGAATCATTTTCAAAAGCTGAACAGTTGTAATCTTAGTTACAACAAAGTATATATCTATCACCAGTTCGATTCTTGAGCATTTAGTTAACTATCGGTCACCTTTCTCAACGAGAATCTTCTTTTCATTTATAAAGTGAAATCAAGAATTATCGAAGTGAGTGCTTATCCGCCACTTTAATACAGCAGACGCTTTCATAATCCAGCGGTATAAACCTGATATTTGCGTTGAAATCTGCCTGAGTCAATCTTATTCATTTCATCGTTTATTATTTGCTGATTTGTTGTAATTCTATAAGTACATTCTGATGACCTTGAGTTGACTTTCTAACTGTTGTCACCTAGTGACTTTATTGACGATTTATGATGACTTTACATTCATCCATTAGCTTATTGATGGATATATATTTTGTTTTAACTAAGATTACAACTGTATAGCTTTTGAAGATGATTCATCGAAAAGAAAATTTTCTTCGCTGAATTGTCTTTTGTTAATTTTTCATTAATAAAACAAACAATGTAAGTGAAGAAATATTTCTTTTCAATTAGTTCCTCATCAATGGCTCTACACTAATGTATGTAGCATTTTCAAACGTAAAATTACATACCAATCTAGTGGTGAGAGTTGTTCAATGAAAGGTTATCAATCTCAAAGTCTCAAGAAGGTGATAATTGATCAGGTAATTAAGACAGTTAACTAAAGCAAAGATTAATTATCGTATCGCAGAAGCCATAGGAATCCACCTACACAAGCCAAGTCTGTGTGTTCAGAAGAGATTCATTCAGCCTCTTTCTTTGCCTTGGCCATCTGTATAGCTCATTTATTACAACAAGACTCTTCATTTCATCCACCACACAATTCACTATAACTAATATTTCAATAGCTCCATTATTATTATTACAAACTTAATCATCTTTCTCTCCCCCTACTGTCTCTAATTACCGTCAACAATTTACCATTTTACGTAACAGTTCATTTTTGCTCTTTAGTTATCATTATATAAAATATCAATTATGTAAGAACCTGTTCACAAAATCTTTCTACGATAATTAATCTTTGCTTTAGTTAACTGTCTTAATTACCTGACCAATTATCACCTTCTTGAAACTTTGAGATTGATAACCTTTCACTGAACAACTCTCACCACTAGATTGGTATGTAATTTTACGTTTGAAAGTGCTACATACATTAGTGTAGAGCCATTGATGAGGAACTAATTGAAAAGAAATATTTCTTCGCCCACATTGTTTGTTTTACTAAATGTCTAAATGGGAATTTTTGCATTACTGAAATTGTTCATTATCTAGTGAAACTACTTATTTCATTTTCTTTACATAACAACTTTGTAATAATTTAGTAAATGAGAAGTTTTCTAAATACTTCGTTTCCATTTGATACTGCACTAATTAAACACGTGCATAGCTAAACAAAAATGCAAGAAAATGATGGGGAGATTTACAACTTTACTGCAAGTCATATCCATTTAACAGAGTATGTTGTTTATATATTTCTGCAACACTCACTTTACAAGATTAAAACATAGAGGCATAAGAATACCAAAATAGAATGGTCAGAAGTTAGCTCATTTCCTTAGGCCGTATAGTCAAACGAAGGACTCGTGAGACATTAGTACTTGGTTAGGTATATAACAGAGCGAAACCTCTTTAATACACCATCGTTCTTAAGATCGCGAGCAATTTTGATTCAGACAGCTGATTTAAGATCCAAATAAATCTTAAAGATAATGCCTTATTGATGGATTATTGGATTACTTAACTCGCAAATAAAAAACAGGGTACTGTATGATTTTTTCACAAAAATTCGAATAGTTAATGAAGTTTTCTGTAGAACAAAAAGGATCGTTTCGAACACAGTTTACATCATTTTCAGTGAAGCAATACAAAGAATAAATTAACGGCTAAACATTGCAGCATTATATTACAAAACAAACTCACAGTCTGTTGATTTCAAGTCATGGGATATCGATACCCATTGTTCATTTTCAGAGATAATTTGATTAATTTCGTCACTTCGGGCAAGACAGAAATCGTTGACCTAAAATGTATGAAAATGAAGAAACAATTTATCATTCTCAGGGACGAAAATACACAAATGTAGGTCAAGTAAACATGAAGTCTCTGGAAAAGATAGATTTTATGCCGTTCATGGCACTGGTAAGACATCTAAGTACTTATTGTACTGTACAGCTCTATGCTTTGTCCCATTACAAAGTCATGAAAAACGATTAAATGTGAAGGTTTAAAGTATTCTCCCAAGATCGCCTTGGTGTCGAGGATCCATAACATGAGTAATGGGTTGGTTAAAAAGTACCACATGAAGAAGGTAAATCAGTTGAGGTCATGAAGCTTCGTCCACAGATGTATTTAGATCGTGTAACGCATATCAAGTCACCGTCTGCTTCAGCATGGTGTTTCAGGTTAGATAAAATTAAAATGGAATAAGGCTTAAGATGTGCAGATCAGTGAATGGTACTGATACGTGAAGTCTTTAACTGATAGTATGAGCCATGTAAGACAGTGTAAACTTCACGATAATGGTTCTCAAGACAAATGAAAACGACGGTTGGAAACTTTAAATGGACACAGACAAGCATGCTTACCTTTATCTAAACCTTACTACGATATGCCTCTATTTCCTTTACACTTTTCTCTCCTATTTTAATGATTTTATACCTTCATGTTTTAATATCAACTGTGATAACTTGCACGGATATGCAACTATGGTATGCTTTGTATTCTTTTTGATGTCTGCTATATTTTCTGTAAAAATTAATTCCAGGTCGATGAACAACTAGTTCACCTGTTTACTATAACAGTCAGCAAGTCTTGTCAATACTACATATATTCTTGATAACACTTTGTAAACACATATGAATATGAAATGTAAGTATGTCACACATCGTAAAACTGCATTGAAAGGCATAGATCTTAACAGATTGTATAGACAAAAACAGCTGATTATATAAATGAATTTTCTGAAAAAATATACATTCAAACAGAGTTTTTATTTTCTAAACATTGTGTTCACAGTCCCAACTCTAGTCGATTCAAAATCACACAGAAGGCCTGATTATACTCACAGGAAACTATAACAGGAGGAAGTCTCTTCCACACATCAGGCCGAAATGAGTATATCTGACAAAGTTTAGCATATGTAAGATGATGTTTCAAGTTTGATTGGACTGATAAATCTTTTAATCATACAAAAAAAATTGATTGAGTACATAGACGAATTCACTTATATGAAGAGTTGCGCTAACCCAACCCAAGGGCCTAAATAACTAATGATATACAGATGAAGACCTCATTGAATTATCGATTATTATCCCTTAGTTATGTGTATTCCACTAATTTTTAAAGGAAGTGTACATTTTACAGCAGTCTACTATGTACACTAAAATACATGGCTACAAGAAATAGTTTTTGAATGATATAAGGCATCAGTAATTTAGTTATTCGATTATGTGTCTTCATAAAATTACTTTTATGATGAAGCTACCGAACAAGGTCAAATGTGTAGTTAGTCGACGGAGTTATGAATTTGTATTAATTGAAGTGACTAAGATATGTACTGCAAATAATGCACCATCGAATATTTTGAAATACGATGATGAAAGGAATGCAATGGTGAGCAGCAGACAAGAACAATACCAATAAATGAAGAAGCTGAATATGAATATAAGCCGAATAAGCTACATGGTCCTCTGAACTCTAGGAAACAATGTTTGCAAACGCGAATTGACGGTATTCAATTATTTTGGTATTTGTATTTCACAATGAATGTCAAACAAAATAAATTTGTTTTCAGTATCCCTCCACCTGATATCAGTCCACAATGAATCCCAACCTAAAATAAATTAATAAACTTCCACAAATCTACAAATTCAATTATCCTAGCACTTATTGGTGAGTAGATTCGGGAGGTGATTCCCGAAGTTCCAATAAGAAGTTATGACCAGTGAAGTCAACCAAGTCGAACATGAGGGCAGTTATTTAATGATGACCTAGAGTCAGTCTCCAACCACTGATTCCTTTTGTCCCGCGGACTCCAACCACCTAGTCTGCATCTCCCCCCCCCCATACGTCTCAAACCAACAGTCAAACACTTCATCCATTCGTGCCATGTTTTAGTCTGGCCACCTCCGGCCTTTTTCCAGCCTGGACCTACTTCGGCCAACGTTGTGTGACGAGGCAATCGACGACTAGGCATACGTAACACATGTTGGAGTCAACCATCTCAGTCGATCAAGGTTCACAACCATGTCAACTGACTTACATCTTCTCCCTAAAACTCTACACCTGGCGTCTGCGTTACTCACGTGGTGACACCACAGAATACGGCCTATACTACGAGGGCAACGGTGGTCAAACACCTGATGCCTACTCGTGTCTTCCACCTTCAATGGCCATGTTTCACAGCCATACAGTAGAACAGACCGGACTGCTGTGCAGTACATGTGACCCGTAATAGATAACCGGGTATCATAGCGGCACCAAATGTGGTGTAAGTTGGCAACATCCGAGCCTTTTGTACTCGCGCAGAGATTTCATCGCCACTGAGCCACCAGGGCTGATCATACTTCCCAGGTAACTGAAGTGGTCGACACACTCAATCATTACACTCTCTATTGTTAACCGTGGCACCGTTGAAGGTCAGTCCTGGAGCAATAGTTTGGATTTGGGTGGTGAGAAACGCATCCCAAACATTCTCAAATTGCCACTCAAAGTGTTCAGAAGACTCAACATATTCCCTTGTTCAATAGAGTCATTAGTGAAACACCTGAGTAAGGTTTCTCATAATAGAAGTGATAATGATACATATCTTATCGTTTTTTATTCTTCGCTCTGATATAAAAGAGCTTCGAAGAGCAAACATCCTAGACTTACTTAGTAATAGATTTAATTCACAAAAATAGAAAGCTGGCAGTCAGGGATATATACATAGATATATAAGCAAACATTGGTCCCGTAAGATCATCATCATCATTATCAACATAGGACCAGGCATTACTGCGTAACGGTCCGAGTTGCCACACCTCATATCAGCACATCAAGTAAAAAGGTAGTGAGGTGAAGGATGAAGATAAGTGAATGCAGTCAAAAGAAATATAAAGTAGAGAAGAAAGGAAAGAGGAGTGACAAAATAGTGAGATTCGGTATAGCGTTGTTAGATGAGGATAATGTTGTATACATCTGCGCCACTGACTTCGGTTCTGAGCCATATCACCTAGGGTCTCCAACCACTGGTTCCTCTTGTCCCGTGGACCCCAACCACCTAGTCTGCATCGTCCTACATGGCTTAAACCAACAGTCAAGACTTCATACATTGGTGCCATGTTTTAGTCTGGCCACCTCGGGCCTTTTCCAGCCTGAACCCACCTCAGCCAACATTGTGTGACGAGGCAATCGGTGACTAGGCATACGTAGTACGTGTCCCAACCATCTCAGTCGATGAAGGTTCACAACCTCGTCACTGACTTACCTCTTCTCCAAAACTCTACACCAACTTCTGCATTACTCACATGGTGACACCACGGAATACGTCCTATATACGAAGGCAACGGTGGTCAAACCTGACCTTTCTCCACTTTCATGGCCATGTTTCACAGCCATACAGTAGAACAGAGCGGACTGCTGTGCAGTACACGCGACCCTTAATAGACAAACGAATATCACGGCGGCGCCATAGGTGGCGCAAATTGGCAAAGCCATCGAGCCTTTTGTATCCGTGCAGAATCTCATCGGCAACTAACCCACCGGGTTGATCCTACTTCCAGGTAAGTGAAGTGGTCAACACACTCAACCACTTCACTCTCTATTGTTAACCGCGGTACCGCTGAAGACCAGTCCTGGAGCAAAAATTTGCATTTGGGTGGTGAAAATCGCATCCCAAACATTCTCAAATTCCCACTCAAAGTGTTCAGAAGACTCTGCATCTTGTCAGCGTCTTCACCTAACAGGACTATGTCATCTGCATATTCTAGATCTAAGAAAATTCACCTGTTCGGTCAACGTCTTTGTAATTAGGTGACGAGAGGGAAACCTCCATAAGAATATCTATGATAAAATTAAATAAGAATGGGATAGTGGGCATCCTTGACGGACACCACTTGATGAGTATAGCTCCCTGGACAACTCACCATAGGCTCTAACATGCCCACAAGTGTTCGAGTAGAGAGCTTTCAATAAGGTGATGTACTTACAGGCACGCCTTTCAGTGACAGACACTGCCATAAGACTTCTCGATCAACGGAGTCAAATGCCGCCTTCAGGTCGAGAAATACAGCTATTGTCGGGCGTCTGTAAGCATGCCTATGTTCCAGGACCTGGCGCAGTGTGAATATTTGGTCGATACACCACGGCCAGGTCTAAAGCCTGCCTGGTTTTCTCGGGCTTGCTGTTCCCGAGCTCCACTCAGGCGTCGGAGAATTATAGAACTTAGGATCTTAGACACTATGTTTGTCAGGCTGATTCCTCTGTGGTTATCACAAGAGGACTTCTCGCCTTTCTTGAAGACTGGGATGATCAGTGACTTAGACCAGTCGGAGGGGATCGTATTTGATTCCCATATACTGGCTAACACTTCCGTTAGCCTGACTAAGAGAACTCTACCACCATTCTTGTATACCTCAGCAGGTAGTCCGTCTGGTCCTGCTGCCCTTCCCGTTTCAGGCTACCTACCGCTTTCTCACTTCTTCTAGTGTTGGGGGACCTGTCTCTATGTCCCATTCAGGGTCCGACTGGATAGCGGGCAGCGCAATGGTGGCTGGAGGCCAGTTAAACTGTTCCTCAAAGTGTTCTGCCCATCGTCCCAGTCGCCTTCCCTGCGAGTGAATCGCCGATCCGTCCTTCTCCGCTATAACCTCACTAACTGTTGTTGACCATTTCCCCCAGTCTCCTTAATAAGTCTAAATAACTGTCTACTGTTACCGATCGCCGCTGCCTTTTCCATCTCTTTAGCCTTTGCTGCCCACCACTGTTCACGATCGTTGCGCAGACTTTTCGTCAGTTTATTTTTAAGTTGCGCTCGCTCTTCATTGTACTCAGAGCCTGCAGGGATGCATTCACGTGCATCCATTAGTTTGGAAGAAGCTGCTGATATCCACTGGCTCTTTTTAGCCATTATCTTGGAGTCGGCTACAGTCTCCAGTGCTGCTTTTACAGTAGACTGAAGATGGCACCAAGCTTCTTCTGGATGAGTGACAGTTTTGTTCCGATAACTGCCTAGCCAACTTCTCACTGAACACGGCTTTGGTGTTTTCGTTGTCCAGCAGACTCGTAGTGGTTTTGTTGCCAAATTTTTTCTACGTCCATTGAGACGCAGGCATATACGTGCTCGGACCAACGCATGATCGCTGTCCAAACACGTACTCCAGAAGGAGCGGCAGTCTTCCACCGATCCTCTCCAGCGATGACTAATAGCAATGTGGTCTATCTGTGTCCATCGCTGAGTCGAGCTCGGTGGACGCCAGGTCAGACAGTGCCTTTCTTTATGTCTGAAATTTGTGCTGGCTAAAAATAGGCGGTTATCTGAGCATAGTTGTAATAGGCGATCACCGTTATCTGTACGTTCAGCTGGGATTCCGAAAGTGCCACCTAAGTGCCTTTCTGCCTCACTCAGTCTACCCACCTGTGCGTTGAGGTCACCTGCAACAACCACTACGTCCGAACGTTTGGCTTTCGAGAGGAGGTTAGACAGTTTATGGTAGAACTCGTCCTTCACTTCATCCGAACTACAGTCAGTGGGTGCGTAAGCAGAGATTACAAAGAGACAACGGCGAGTCTCACTATTCCTTTTAGTTCTCACTGTGCCGTTCAGCCTCATAGCGCAGAGGCGACTATCAACTGGGATCCAGTCTAGTAGTGAGTTTTCTGCCCTGGTGCTTAATGCTATACCTACACCTGCAAGACCACGAGAGCTAGCTATCGAATCTCCAGAAACTCGAAGGGTGAATTTTGCAGATTCACCAGATTGGTCAGGAGAGGTCAGGTGAATAACCACACTTGGGTCCTGTATGCGTGTCTCACAAACACAGCACACATCCATGCCCGAGTTGCTAGAGTCTTTGCCAACGAAGCCTGTTGGCCAATTTGACGGAGGGTGCGGACATTGAAGGCTCCAATATGTAATTTGGAGCGTGGTTTAAGGAGACCAGGGACTGTTCTGTGGACTCAGATCGTTGTCGAAGGCTGCAGAGGTAGGAGAAATTGAAGATGATGCAGCATCATTAATTAAGAGACGTGAAGGAAGATTAGAAGGTAATGATGGAGGAGGAGGATAGCAGTCAGAAGAAACTTGGGTGCTGACAGAGTTGTGAGGGCGGTTGACACTTCCCGGCTGCCCACACCGTGGAAGGCTATTTCTTCTTAAGGTACCTGAAAGAGATTTGTGTGACCGCAGAGCCCATCGGACATCTGCTTGAGGCCTGTCACACCCAGCCTTTTGAGTATGATTATTTTGAATTTTTGTATTTTTGGGGCCGGATGAAAGGAAACGACAAGTGAACCAACACCCCGGCCCGCAGACCGTGGGGTGGTGGAGTGTGTTATTTTTGGGGCCGACCTTTTCTAACCCCCCCTTCCACTGAGAAGGCAGCATCAGCTTGGCACTGCTGGTCATCCAAGGGAAACACCTTACTGCTGTCACACCCCATCCAGCTAGCAGCAGTACGACTTCGCCCTCAGACCCCCATCATAGTTACAATTTACACTATGACGGTAACTGCTTTTCGTCTAACCACTACCCAACAGACCTTTCTGGTATGGTAGGACCTCGAGGGAACAAGCGTTCCACCAGCATAGCTCGTTGGGTCATTGTGATATGCAAGCCCGACCACCACGTCCGATAGTCATGATATTTGAAAACTTATTCACACTAATGAAGTGAGGATTGAAATATTCACATTTTGAGCTTTATTCAATCAGGACAGTTATTAAAAATGGATCAGTGTGAACTCATCCCTTCTCTGAACTGTAAGAATTCCTTAAAAAGCTATACGGTCACCCCTCAGAAATCAGGTTAATGGAATGCTAAGTATTCATAAAGTATATATGTGTGACTAAGTGGTAGATATTTGACTTTGAGTGACTTGATCGTCCCACATGCCAGTAATTTGGGGAAGGGGGGGGGTTGAGGGTATCAACATATGGTATGAGCAAGCTGTTCATCTTAGGTGATCTCTACAGACCTCATTAGCTGTATAACCAGATAGATTAAGCTCGAAAAAGTAAATATAGGACTTAGATGTTGCTTATCGAAAAGGTGAATACCGAGTTGTTACTACTAATTTACTTTATATATTAGTAGCATAGTAATAAACAGTGGAAAGAACTTACCGTTTGTAGCTCTTCATTGCAAAATCTTTCAAACTCTGAATGCCAATGTAAACTTTTCTCTACATCATTACGTATTGTTGTAAATATTTTACAGGCTTCTTGTAAATCTGCTATAACTTTACGTTGTCGATGCTTGAGAATATGATTAAAATAAGGCTCACATTTTATGCGTAGTTGAGATAACAGATTTCTTTGTTCATCTAGATTCTCATTAACACATATACGAGCAGCATCAACTTTATCACGAAATGTTTTTGAAGTCACCGCATTATGATCAATTTCTCCATCTGTACGATACCATTTGTTAAGTGTTTGAACTAAAAGACAAAAAAGCGTATTATTTAGTTCGTATACTTTACATAGTATTAGAATAACAAGTTGAAGAAAAAAATCCATGTAGCTGTTGTGTTTTACGAATGTATACTTCCCAAATATTTTCTTGATGAGGACAAACAAAAATCTCTTCAATTTTAGCACAAGTGATAGTGTTCTTCAAAACTGGGGGCAAAACAGATAAGCACAACACTCTAGAATGAGTTAGACACATATAGGCAAGTTTGGCTGACTGAGAGTAGAAAGATGAGGAAATATTAGCGAATAGAAGAGAGTATTCACGATGTCGTAAAAGGTTAAATCCAAGTAACTGATCGGATTCTAACACAGAAAGAGACCATTATCAAAATCCCTTGCAGCTGTTAAACCAATAAAAGTAGAATTCAATTCGTAACTTCCTCTAGCCTATAAAAGCTTTCCATGAAGTATGTACAGTGCTGTAAGTGTAAGACTAACGCACCGTATTAGAATGTAATTCCATATTAGATTTAATTATTTGATATAAAAAAAACAGTGAAATAATACTGTGTGTTACATCAAATTGAAAAAAATTAATACGCTATAAATAATGGTGCTACACTTTAGGTATGTTTATCTGCTGTCAGAAACTTCATACGATGAAGTGGAGTCAAAATCACGTAATCGCAAGAGTGAAGTGGCTTGGAGAGGGAGAACATTCGTAGCTGTGGCTACGAAATACTCCCACACACATCAGTATACCAAGTCTACTTAGAGACAGTTAACTACAGGTAAGTGCATATGGCATATAAATGGAACTCGAAAAAATTGACTATATCTAATCATGTGAATGACAAGAGAAAAAAGAATGTAAAATTATTATCGTCCTATACAAGTGATGAAATATGCCATTGTTTTTCAAAATTCTAACCTAAGCTATTTCAGGAAGTTACAGAATTCTAAATATAGGTTCATTAACTCGTTCCATTACCAACGACAAATGAGCAAACTTTACTTCCTTTGATTCCCTGTTCCGAATAGTGACACCTTGGATGGCTGCTACGCTAACCATTACATTTCTGTCTGCAGCGAAGTAAGAGAGCTTTAAACGTTCTCACAAGTCAGGCTACTTGTGTGTAAAGGCTGATTATATTACTTCATTGTATGAACCCCCAAACATGTAATATGGTCTGAAACTGTGACGTATTGGTTGAAATTCAAGTGCGCGATAAAGCAAAACGCTCAGATATAGTCAGAATAGCAGGTGACTTAAACGCTCAAGAGTGGAATGTAAGCCAATCGGAAAGGCTTCCTACATGTATTCCGTTAAAACGATGGTCGTGTATTGCAATTCTGTTCTGGCCAGAACCAACTTCAAGCATAACAAGAGACCTCTCACTGACGTCAAACCATCGAAGAACAGAAATAGATCATGTCGTTAGAAGCCAACGTCACAGATATGCTAACTTCTGGAGTACCTGAGTGAAATCTGACCGCGCATATTTTTGCGTCTCACTGGTCGCAGTAAACAGACAACAGTGAAGCTTATTTGTGCTTTTCTGGAAGATGAGAACATAAAGTGTGTATTCAAGAAAGTGACAGAGAATTTAACTGAACGTGATAGCAAACCTCATCCCGATGAAGCCTGACATGATATTAAGTCTGTTGCAGAAATTGCAGTAAATACAGTAATTTACAGTCAAAGGTTACCGGAAGCCAATGGGTTTCCTTTGACTCATCTGACTTGATTGGTGCTAGATAACTTACTTCAGCCAGCTCGGATACATTGAGGAGTGAAAACAGCTCAAATGTAAAATAACTGACAGTCTTCAAAATCACCACGAAGAAAAGTGGGTGGCGAAAGCAAGAGAGGTGGAAAACGTATCAGTATTAGGTAATTGTTGGGAATTGTGTAGGTTTATTAAGAACACTGGGAAGATGAAGACAACAGACAGTGAGATCATTAGTGAAAACGATGGGTACATGACAACCACTCAAGACAGGCGTCTAGAAAGTTGGACAGAACACCTTGAAGAACATTTCAACTAGTGCACAGCAAATAGTCAACTGCTAAGCAACTAGCCCGAACTTGAATAGGAAGTTGACGTTAGTCTCCCAACGCACGCTTCTGAATGACAGTTGACTCGTATGCCATCTACCATCGATTTCAATGTCCGAGACGAAAATTAGAGAGTAGAAACACTGATTTGGAAAATAATCTGTTGTCACAGAAAAGACTGGCGATAACTAGAAACGAATATGTTGATATACATGATAATATGTGACCTTGTCCAAAACTAGAACCATTAACATATTCAAAGTGAGCGTCAACTAATCAGTAATGAACTACTGGCCATGGGGCAGAAAGATGCGAAGACAGTCATCTAGAACATATACGAAAATCAGTGTTTCATGCAAGTTTTGGGGCCTCCCAACACATTCGCAAAAGGTATTTTTAATACCTCTGTTGTTTTGTGTCTAGTTAGAAATGTACCATTTGAAGCTCTCTAGGATTCGTCAATCTACTTAGTGGAAACTTGTTGATTTCGGTTTCAGGCTCTGTTGGCGTTGCTGATAATGTCGACGTTTCCAGTAGAATGTCAGAAGGTAAGGTTGGATTCTCTGGCTAGATTGTCTTTCTGAAACGCAGTTGAGATTTTTGTCTTGTTCATTTGAAAGCGTATCTGCATGTCCAAAGTCTTCTATCAGGCGATATTTGGTAACGAAACCAAGACCAGATAATATTGATGACCAGTATTGTAGTCTATTGACGGAATGAGCTCAAACACCACTTTATGACCCGAAAGTTGAGAGAAGAGGTTTGTGAGCAGTGAACACAAAGTAAATTGTAGTTCATACAACATTTTGTAAAAACGTCTGGAAGCAAAACCTAGTACGAGTGCTTCTTTTCAATCTGTGCTTAGTGTTTTTCAGTTGTCATGAAAGATTGAAATGAATTTATGACAGCTTTTCGTGAGCCACTCGGTTATTCGTGAAATTGAACAGCCTCAATACCAGTGAAGGGAACATCAGCTGCAACGAAGATTGGTAGACGTGGATTATATAATGCGTTAACAGATAGTCACAGCTGAGAGTGAACTTAGGCTGTTTTAAAACAGCGTCACATTCTTTTGACCATGATCACTGAGTATCTTTGCGTCGACAATCGAAGGGATCCTAAATTTAATGAGGAGAGGGCAAGAACGCTGAGTAGTAGCTGATGAGACCTAGGAATGGTCGGAACATTACAACTTCTGTCGAGGTTGGTATTTTTGTTCCGTGCTAATGTTTTAAGGGTTAGGATATTGACTAAATGCATAAGAAATGAACCCAAGTATTTTGCTGGTTGCATGAACAACTGATATGTTCCTGCTCACAACCAAAGGTCGCTGTCTAAGATTAGTTGCATGACTGACTATATTTGATAATGTAACTCTACTGAAGTTTGCGTCAACCAAACAGTGATTTGCCTTGGTATAAGAAAAGAAATGTACTAGCGGTAATGGCGTCAAAAGGTGAGAAGACGGTAATACAGGTTAAGAAAATTATTAATGTTATATACAAATCTAGTGATCTCCCAGCAAACTGTCGTCATGATTTCGGTTAACTCTCAAAGTTGAAAATTAGATTTCAGGTTTTAAGCTACTGAGAGTAGTAAAACTAACCATAATGAAAAATATTTGTGCACAAGGTTGCTATTGTGATAGATTCTAGAGATATTTGAGGGGGGGGGTGGGGGGGGGGACACATCTACTGTCATTTTTGAAATATAACTACATCAGAAATTGAATCATTGTTATCGGTTGCGGCCTACTACTATTCGCATTTCTCAAAACAGTAGTCAATTATTCTACAGCTTCATGGCGTGTTTTTGTGTAAGAGTCGAGAGATGGACACATCAGAGAGCAATCTTGCACACAATTGCATCAATTCAATTTTTCACACTTCACAAAAGTATCCAAAGAGGAAGCGGGCAGAAGATGAATGATACTGCACTGAATAAGAGTTTATGATAGGATACCAAAAATACCAAACGTAAGTAGAAATTTCGAAGATGGCAAAAAGTAAATAAATCTATTTCACTGTAATTAAGGTTAAAGTGTCACCAAAACTTTCACAATATTAAGTTACAACATTTTGAGGATACAGTCAAGTAGTCTAAACCTTTTTGCACAGTCTAAGTTAGAGACTTCAATGACTGATGTCATGTCTTGGTTTATGCCCTCACGACTTTTATTCAAGTCAACTTATTTCAGCGTACACATTGCATGTCAGATTAGGCGGTGGTTCGGTATGCTAGCCAACCACATATCCAAGCCAACTTAGTCGGTGAAAGTTCATAATCTCATTATCTGACTTGTCTTCTATGATTAGTACTTTAAGTCTGGACTCAATATTTCTAATTAGGTAGTAATACTACGATAGATGTTAGAAGCTATAAACATACACTAAATCTTTTTTACCAAACCCATAGATTTCACTGAATTTCAAAATGGACAGAAAGCATATTGCAACACTCCTACATATTGTAGAATGTTTACTAGATGCAAGATATTTCAATCTTAAAAAATCAAGTGTTCTAAAGTACTGTCATTTTTATGAGTACGCATACGTTTAACATAGTCTTCATCAGTTTCAAAATGTTCAATTCATCACCTTTCTATTTGATAAAAGTTTCGGATTTATTAAATTGTTATCCTTGTAAAGTGATTGAGTTAGCCTATTGATTAAAGTAAATTACTAACGATACTGAATATATGAATAAACTAGAACTTTATACGAAAAATGACATCCCTCGCAGTACTTTATAGTTTACTGAAGACTAAACTGTATTTATTAAGCTCAAATAGAGTGACGATGACACATTATCCACCGTACTTGTATCATTCTTCACGTATATGAGAGAAATTGACATTCTGGTGTTACCATCTGCAAAGTCATTTTAGGATTTAGCTTGACAGGCAAGATAAGATCTTGGTGTGGATATAAGCATCTTTAAGCTTCCTTCAAATCGCGAATAAAAATCTAACATTTAAAATGATCCACTGTTAACTTCACTGGTTTTAAATTTTTCACATTCACGATACTCTTTGATAGTATGTCACATAAATATTGCAAGGTACTTTCAATAGCTGGAAAGAGTGGTAGTTAGTATTGAATATTACCGATCGTTCATCATACATTTAATATAAAATATTCACTGTATCATCAAAAAATTACTATGTAGATTTTTTTTGAAAGAATAAAATTGACCTTTAAAGTGCTTGATAACACCAAGCTTTCGTAGTATTAAATGAAATTTTGCAGCATCATGGGACGAAGAGTAGTCCATATGGAATACCTGCCTGTATCGGTTAAGCTCCTAGTGAAATACGCGACCAGACACTGGATTGTAGCTAAACTTACCAAAAGGATGAGAAGTATTTTCTGATTTATCTGGATGAGTAGCAGGTTAAAACCGAGTAGAAAATTTTCATATCAAAGCTACAATTAGCTTCAGCTGAGAGCTGCTCCGATTTGAACTCATCGAAGTTGTAAAACAGGTTTGAGATCGTTCAATAAAATACACATCGTAAATTGTTACCAACTACAAAGTGACCAAATGAATTTAAGGGTATAATGGAATAAATAAACATAGTGAATACGTAAATATACTCCAACTGTACACGAACGATGACTGTTTCCCTCCCTAGTAACTCATGGTTCATTTATTCGGGGAAATATTAGACAACAAAGCCTGACCTTTGTCTGTTAGAACTATGTTTTTAGACAAGACTACATCATATATACACTGTTTCTAGGGTAATAAATATACGTGCGAAAAGACTAAATACATTGTTCTGATTAGTCCACTGGAACGTTAATCTATTCCCTTAGGTCATCATGGTAAAACATCAGTATAGATCGAAAATTAAAGCTTCGATACTTCTTCCTCAGTGATCGGTTTCGGTTCTGACCACTTCTTACCATCTTTGTTATCTAGTTCAACTGACAGAAATGTCATAAACGAATACAATGTTGGTAAACAAAAAAACCTAAGGTATGCACAAATTACAAGAAAACTAAAGAAACTTACTGAAATTTGGCGGTAGACAAACGAGATCCCACATATGCATCACATCAACACGTTGGCACTTATTTACCTCAAGTTGTTCCCAGATACGTATTAAATCCTTACGAATATTTTCAATTTCTTCGATTGCTTCAATCTCCTTAGCGTCGAAACTCGATTGAATATACACTAATAGTTCATTACTAGACATGTTCAGTATTTGAAAAGCTGCTTCATGTTGTTTGAACAGAGATATTACATCGTAGTCTTTTTCAGATACCTATTATTGTTGTAAAGGATATTAGCAAACAGGTGAATACAGAAAAAAATCCATTTACTATAGAACATTTCAGAGAGTGAACTCAACAAACCACCAGGTAATACATCAATAAAAAAAGTTCACTTTCCTAACACAGAAAAACCCTTCATACTACAAAATTTCAAAAATCAAACTGTAAGTCATTATGGTGATGAACGAGTCAGTTTCATCACATAAATGCTGATATAAAGTATGCGAAGAATGTGATTTTTCAGTGTCATGTTTAAAAAGAAAACAGCAGAGATAACTAGTTAGCTTATCAGACACTAATCAAGAAACGTTCACGATTCAAAGAAGTCTTCCGTGCATTATGTTTTACATTCAAGAAGAAACACTTCTTCGTGTTCGTATATTGTCTAAAATTTGTATCTTGTAAGTGTTTCATTCAGTGTAGGCTTGAAACAATAAGTGCTGGAGTTAGTAATATTTGTGATCGATAGAAATCTTAACACCGGTATTCGACAACTCTATGTCAAACTGTGCATTATAAGAATACATTGCATCTTCATTATTTACATAAACAAGGCAAATATTGAGATTTGGTTAACAAACAGCATTCAGAAAAAATGGTTAATTTAAAACATCCAAGTGTCTATGGATTACTTTAGAAAGTAGTGTTGGCTCTAACAGAATAAACTAACAATAAGCATGATAAAAGTGTTACCAAAAACCTCCGTTATTTATCAGTGGTACGATCAGATTGACTGACAAAATCAACTTAGAAACTCAAACACAAATGCATCAGCTAAATATGCTACACATCACAGTAGTATACAAAAAAAGAGGACAGAAAAAGAGTGATATCAAACAAGATAAAGTTGTGTTACAGAATAAATAATTTCAGAATATTCAAGCTTTAGAAGACGTCAAAGAGTGAATACATCTGTGCCACTGTCACCACTTTTTAGTCATGTCACCAAACGTCATCAACCACTGATTACTATCGTCACAGGGGCCCAATCCAACGAGTCTTTACCTTCCCATACAAATCAGACTAATGGTCAGAGGCTTTATCGATGGACTGCAGCTCAGTATACTCGGCCATCGGTAGATAAATGAATATATTGCCAGTCAGCGCCACAGATGATGCAAGTTGGTGAATGCCAAACGGACCTTCTGTATCCGAGCTGAGGTTTCGTCAGTGGTCAGCCTGTTTGCGCTGGTGCAAATACCCAAGTAAGTGAAGTGGTCGACACATTCCGCGACTTCACTCACTATCAGTGAACTGGGAGTGCTTGTTGCAGACCAATCCTGGAGGATCATCTCACATTTGATGGGGAACAGCAAAACGCATGCCAAACATACTTAGATTTCTGCTCAACGCGTCCAAAAGACGCTGCATTTTGTCAGCGTCTTCACCTAGCAGGACAATACCTTTTGCATACTCCAAGCCAACCAGATGACCTTCAAGTAGAGGGGTAGGTCAATCCCTGTGAATTCAGACGCACCTAGTGTTATGTGCATTAGTACGTCTGTAGCGAAATTGAATAGGAAATGTGACAGTGGGCATCCTTGGTGGACACCTCTAGTTGTCAATTCAGAACCAAACCTCCATAAACCCTTACACGGCTGCGTGAGTTTGAGTAGAGAGCTTTGATTAACGTTCAGTCCTCCGTTCAGTCAGACACTGCCACAACACCTCATCATTGATACGGCCAAATGCCGCCATAGCGTCAAGAAATATGGCAAGTGTTGGCCACGGGTAGGTATGTCTATGTTCCAGAGCTTGTCAGACGGTAAAATATGATCTATGTACCCTTGCCTAGCTCTGTAAAAAACTGCCTAGTTTTTCGGGTTCGCTGCTCTCGAGCTTCACTTAGACATCGGATAACTATGGACGCGAGGTTCTCGAACAAAATATCAGTCAAACTAATTCCATTATGGTTGTTACAGGAAGATTCATCTCCCTTCTTATCGACTACGATGATCAGTGGAGTACATCAGTCTGATGGCACTACCTCGCATTCCCCTACATTACGTACTACCTCCACCACCCCAATCCTCGAAAAGTTTAGGTGGCAAACCGTCAGGTCCTGCTGCTTTGCATCATTTCAGGTATGATACAGCCTTCTCAACTTCAAGGTGAGTTGGAGGACCAACATCTACCTCCTATTCAGATTCAGGCTGGAAGTTGGTGAGCTGAAGCTTTACTAAGGGGCAGTTTAGGTGTGCTTCAAAAAGTTCTGGTAACTCATACGCTAACTTTAAACTACTCTAAACTATGATTTGAAGATCCCTAAACTTGTGATAAAGTGATCATCGATGCTGATTTAATTTTTCAGTCAATACTTAATTATCAGCGAAAAAGTCTATGAAAAGAAAGCACGGTCTCCATCAATCTTATGTTCATAAAACATCAAAGAATTAGTACTTGTGAATACATCTCCTAAAACACTAAGAAACGGTAGTTACTCACATCTAGTGTCTCAGAAATAAGAAAGTGGAGTAGCAAACAAGGATCGAATACAATAAGGATTCTTCAACAAACTATATATCCACTTGTCAACACTTTTTAAGAAGCATACGATTTTGTACCCTTATTCGACCACATTTCTGCATCCAAATTTATACAGAGTAGTTGATAAATTTCTGCTCATTAAAAATGACCTTGAACTGAATAGATTATTATCCTCATCCCCTCATTGAATTCATTCACCGTTCACTCAATTTTAAGTCATATACACTTTGTGGCCTAGCCACTGCCTACGCTTATGAGCTATACTCAAAACTCCACAAACATAATAATAGAAACTCCGGCATGGTCAAACTAAAAGCTATAAACAACCTGCGAAGTCTTTGCTGGCTGCTTCAGATCGCTTCAAGACATTTAGTCTTCCTCCGTTATGTTTCTTAGGCAATATAAACTGATGACTGGATATTTTGCATGACATGACTCAAAATTAGTTGTAGTAGCTTTATTTTGACACAGACTATTATTGACTCTATAAGTGGACTTCGTGTTCCTCCTACTGTCTGTTCACAACAGTTTGTTGTTTCAACAACAGGACTTCTTTCCTTCACAAATCTTCCCTCATTCTAGTTCTTCCTGACTTGAGGCAACACAAAATTGTATCCGTGCTTCACACTGTTTCGATATCCATATTCATAAATACTTCTAGAACATTATTTACAACAAACACTATTACTATGTTGTTACTTGTATCAGTATTCCATTGACTGGACCGGATTGGTCGGTCTCTAATAGCATATGAACTTGAATACAAACAGAACAATTTAGTCTAGTCAGTGATGGAATAGTATAAGCAACAACAACACACACACACACACACACAAAGTGGCTATCGTGGCTCGGTGGTTTAGTGGATAAGGCTTTAGCGTTTGAAGCGATCGGTTTCGCGTAACAGTCTTAGTGAGAAGAATACAACTCACTAGGAAGTAGTTGTATCCCGGTTGATGAGTCCCAAGTAGGACGAAATGCGCGTACTGGATTCAACTGCTACCCCCTATCCATCATTAAAATACTGTTATTATTAAACAGATGGGAGGGAAACATGACTGCTATGAAGGAAAGCTATACACATGCAGTAAATAAGATATCCAGACGAAAACATTTACTTAAATTTCAACACAAACTTGTTTGAAAGTTGAAAAATTACATATCATTCGACTTCATATTTTTCATAAAATGGATTATAACTATTTTTTACCAAGAAGACATTAAAAAAAGGCTAGGTTTTAGCAAAATAATTTTCAACTTCGAGTAGCAGCGTGTCTCAGTATGCACGAGCACTTCCGTACTAATAAAGAAGCAAAGCAAAACGAACAGTCAAGTATTTGGCACTTAGCTAGGCTTCCAAGCGTCCGACTGCCAAACCAATGTATAGCTACTCTTCGTCTTCTTTGATAGAGTAAGGAAATCTCTCCGCTAAACTGCACAAGAATGTTATTGTGGCTCATTGAATAACAGACTCAATTTCCGATCACTAGGTTGGACATCACTGGATAGTCTAGCCATCAACTAGAAAAGACGTAGTAACGGACGTAGTTCGCGGTCAGTATGTATTTGAAAAGTTGCATCGTTATTAATTACCATTCATAGCAACATGAACGATGAAAAAATGGTAGCAAACTTGATATTATTTAATGGAAAAACTGACATTATAATATCTCCACATAAACCTAAAGAACTGCTAAATGTTAAAATCAAATGATAGTTTGTGGGGATGTTGTTGCAGTTGAAAAATCTGTTGGAAACCTCGGAGTCTTTAGCAGCTGTTCAAACCTATTTTTTAATACCTCAGCAGGCATGCAACTATGAGCCCGCGAGGGGCCAAACCTGGAATCGTCAGGTCTTGCAGGGAGAGTGTTACTATCCAGCCGATGGGTTGAAATCCAATAGTCCACATTTTTCTACTTCTGTCAGTTCATGATACGTCGCAACGATCCTCACTTCCGATACAAGACATTAATGGGTTCAGTTTCTCAAAGTCTTGGGTTTACATACCAGAGGGGTCCTAAACCAGGGGGATATATCAATCCATATTAGTTGTATAGGTGTAGTCTATCGATGATAAAAGCTTCCTTGACATACAATTTAATTAGAGGATATGACAACCAATGGGGTGCAGGTACATTTTGTTCATTAATCTAACGTAGAATAAGTGCAAGTCCTGAATTTCATTGTTAGATACTGTCAAATACCATAGTTCCTGGTGATACTACTTTTTTGAACACACATTAAGTCATTTAAGACCGATTTATTTATTTTCTAATGAATTTTTCTGACTAGTTTTTAAAGTGTCTTAACTTGGTATAAGTCACACAAATCTCTTTCAGGTACCTTAAGAAGAAATAGCCTTCCACGGTGTGGGCAGCCGGGAAGTGTCAACCGCCCTCACAACTCTGTCAGCACCCAAGTTTCTTCTGACTGCTATCCTCCTCCATCATTACCTTCTAATCTTCCTTCACGTCTCTTAATTAATGATGCTGCATCATCTTCAATTTCTCCTACCTCTGCAGCCTTCGACAACGATCTGAGTCCACAGAACAGTCCCTGGTCTCCTTAAACCACGCTCCAAATTACATATTGGAGCCTTCAATGTCCGCACCCTCCGTCAAATTGGCCAACAGGCTTCGTTGGCAAAGACTCTAGCAACTCGGGCATGGATGTGTGCTGTGTTTGTGAGACACGCATACAGGACCCAAGTGTGGTTATTCACCTGACCTCTCCTGACCAATCTGGTGAATCTGCAAAATTCACCCTTCGAGTTTCTGGAGATTCGATAGCTAGCTCTCGTGGTCTTGCAGGTGTAGGTATAGCATTAAGCACCAGGGCAGAAAACTCACTACTAGACTGGATCCCAGTTGATAGTCGCCTCTGCGCTATGAGGCTGAACGGCACAGTGAGAACTAAAAGGAATAGTGAGACTCGCCGTTGTCTCTTTGTAATCTCTGCTTACGCACCCACTGACTGAGTCGGATGAAGTGAAGGACGAGTTCTACCATAAACTGTCTAACCTCCTCTCGAAAGCCAAACGTTCGGACGTAGTGGTTGTTGCAGGTGACCTCAACGCACAGGTGGGTAGACTGAGTGAGGCAGAAAGGCACTTAGGTGGCACTTTCGGAATCCCAGCTGAACGTACAGATAACGGTGATCGCCTATTACAACTATGCTCAGATAACCGCCTATTTTTAGCCAGCACAAATTTCAGACATAAAGAAAGGCACTGTCTGACCTGGCGTCCACCGAGCTCGACTCAGCGATGGACACAGATAGACCACATTGCTATTAGTCATCGCTGGAGAGGATCGGTGGAAGACTGCCGCTCCTTCTGGAGTACGTGTTTGGACAGCGATCATGCGTTGGTCCGAGCACGTATATGCCTGCGTCTCAATGGACGTAGAAAAAATTTGCAACAAAACCACTACGAGTGCTGGACAACGAAAACACCAAAGCCGTGTTCAGTGAGAAGTTGGCTAGGCAGTTATCGGAACACATCCAGAAGAAGCTTGGTGCCATCTTCAGTCTACTGTAAAAGCAGCACTGGAGACTGTAGCCGACTCCAAGATAATGGCTAAAAAGAGCCAGTGGATATCAGCAGCTTCTTCCAAACTAATGGATGCACGTGAATGCATCCCTGCAGGCTCTGAGTACAATGAAGAGCGAGCGCAACTTAAAAATAAACTGACGAAAAGTCTGCGCACGATCGTGAACAGTGGTGGGCAGCAAAGGCTAAAGAGATGGAAAAGGCAGCGGCGATCGGTAACAGTAGACAGTTATTTAGACTTATTAAGGAGACTGGGGGAAATGGTCAACAACAGTTAGTGAGGTTATAGCGGAGAAGGACGGATCGCGATTCACTCGCAGGGAAGGCGACTGGGACGATGGGCAGAACACTTTGAGGAACAGTTTAACTGGCCTCCAGCCACCATTGCGCTGCCCGCTATCCAGTCGGACCCTGAATGGACATAAACTTGGTATAATGCTTTGATATGAAAATTTTTGCGTCAATTCAGTCAACTACCAAGTATTGATAAAATAATTCAAGCTCAACAAAAATTTAATTGTTACATCCTATAAAAGAAAAGAGAATACCTTTTTAAACTACCTCAGTTACTTATTTACGCAAACAGATTAGTTTTAGGTAAAAAAAAAAAGAGCATGCAAATGAAAATATACATACCAGTTGTACAGATAAACGTATTTTATCGACTTTTTCACGGAAACCTGAATTCAGCTTCTCTGATGGTTCGCGAAACAAAACATTGGTATAGCCAGTTCTAAAAGCGATATCATTGTTCTCCTCTTTACGTAACATCTCTTCTATCTAAAACAGATTAAAAAAGTATCTCATCAAGAAATCTTTCCATATTAGCAATCTATAGAGAAGATGAGTAGAAGTTTATCGAAACCAACATTTTACAAAATGTGAATCATAATGATACAAAAGTTTAGTAGCATCCTATATCAATGTTGTTGTCCTAGCAAGTAAGGTAAATACTGGACAACTGTTCCAAAAGTATGCAGTTATTATGAGATCAATTTTCTGAGAACTGAAAGCACATGAAACTACGTGTACACACACTCGACAGGAGTTTGAGCAAGTGAGCTGGACCTTTACGCAATAATCTCAAATCCTAACTTGACTGACTGACTGAAGTGGCCTAGAAATATTAGCATCCTCTCACAAAACCTATTCCGTAATATAAGCTCTTGGGTGTACACTGATGGTTGCAACGTCAATAAAACCTCGAATTACGTTTCAATTTATTGTGAACTGATGACAGAAGATGACTGTATCGGATAGTTTGTAGAAGATAAAATAATTTGGGCAGAAATCTGAGCATACTTAATATAATTTTACACCTGTTAAATATGACAGTGGTTCAGTACTCGTCTCTATCGGCATTTTGTCTAAGCAAATATCTAAGTAAAATGAAAGAATGTATAGACTTCACTTCTTCCGGGTTCTGTGTAAACACTTATAACTTGTTTACTTACAAAATCTTAACCCAGCAAACAAATCCCGTTTAGTGTTTGCAAGCTTATGCTCTTACTGGTGATTTATTTATTTATTTATTTATTTTACTTATATAAAGAAATCAAGCACCATCAAATCGTCTACTTGGTGACAATCTTTATCACGTATTCACTCACCTTTATCTGATTAACAATTTGCTATCACGATCCACTAAAAACTTATTCTTACTTTCCTCTAGTATTTATGCCCACTTTAGCGATTGACTGGTTTACCCATCTGAATTTATTAACGTGTGAGCATTTATTTGTTTGCTCAAATAAACTCTCGTTCTAATTACTTTTTTTTAGACTGGCTGTGTTGCTGATACTAGTTGCTCACTTTGATCACAATCTAAATCCTAAGGACTTTCCCTTAGGAAGCGCTACAGTTGAAGGTTGTTTACGAGTAACGTGATTATATTCGTATTGGCAGTTTTGCCTTCAGAATGAACATCAGAATTGATAATATTCGATTTTTGATGTTTTTGTACATTATTTCTTCAGTGTGGATAGTGACATTCGTATTCTTCAATGGCCCGACATTCACAGAATGACTATACTATGCAACTGTATGTCTATGAGATACAGTTGTTGAAAATAGATAAAATTATAAGTTTACAGGTACACCATCCTAATTATGTTTGAAACACTGTTCACGCGTGATGTAAATACAGTAGAATAGTGGAGTTTGGCGTAGAATGCCAGCTAAAGTAGATAAGTCAGTAGGTAAGGTTTTGAGCCTTCGCCGAATAAGGAGACTTGAAATAGTCTGAGTGAGCAAAAATAATTCAACTAGACATGCTTTTGTCATGAAAACTTTGAGTTCATGAAATGTGATTCGTGCATATAGTATATTAGCCAGGTGAAGCGATAATCAATAGCCTGTGTTAGAACACTGGCGACTGCTGCCTGTTATCTTACTTAAAAGGACTCTCAGTTATGCTTCTGCATAAACTAGAACCCCTGATAGTGACTATAGGACAAGAAGATTAACTATCTGCTAGCAAATGGTCACACTTTTTTTCCAGGCACTGATGCAAATCAATCGACAAAAGAATGTAGCGTAACAGCTAAGAAATTCAGTTCACATACAAACGATATTTCACGTTAAAGATTTACAGTTAATTAACAAAGATCCTTAGATTTAGAATACCTCAAAAGGTAGATAATAGCAGAATAACTTACTTCAGCAAGAGTTTTGAATCGTTCTTCAGCCTTTGGTTTCAGTGAGCTAATTTTCTGCCTTAAAGTATCTAACCCGTCAGAATGTCGAATTTTAGCAGATTCTTTAAGTAGAATTTCGCAAATCAACTGAAATACACCCAATTTTAGTGAACGTGGGAAATTGTGTTGGTTCATTTCTCTACATTCAAAATTAAAGACAAAAATAAACGGTTACAAGGAAACGTTAAAAACAAGTACTTTAGCATAACTAACCTATAAATAGGCAGACCAGTTAGTAACTTATTCGTTCAAGCTATCACATTTCATAAACAGAGTGAAGAAGTAAAACCAATGCATAAGAGTAGCTCAATGCGAACAAGGAAGGTTATATAAAGGAAACACACGAGGTAGGTAACATTTGATGAAAATCAAAAAATGTCCTTTCTGTGCATTCGTCAATTAGCATTCAGAGGTAATTGTGAAAGTGGTTGGTATAACTTGGTAAATTGAAAAACAACAGTTAGACATACTGATATCAAAATCTATTATTTATGCCAAATAATGAACAGAGTTATTCTTCATTCAAAGCTCTCCGTAAGGACGCAGTAATTATTGTGTTTTCATCAATAACTTAAAACAGTGAAATGTAATTTTATGATATGATTTGCTTTAGTGGACTAAAAACCAATAGATAACGGTTTCAAACAAACTCTAAGCTTTCCAATTTGGTCAGTGGCTCAATGGTAACGCGCTGATAGCGAAACATGAAGGCCCAGGCGTTCGATCCCCGGCGAGGTTATGGGTGCGCACTGGTATGGAGTAACCTACTAGGAAGAAACAGCTGTTCAGTGCTCCCAGGCTTCCAAGGTTTCTTCAACTGATATCAGTTCATGATAAATACCAACCTTGATCAGTATCGTTAATCTTTTCCAATAATACACGGTTCAACCATTCAGAAATCATAGTTTTGCGTTATTTGTTTTATTTGACAAAATAATTGGTCTTTATTGATTTATGCACAATTGTAGGCAGTCATGCTGATATTAACATGACTTCCGTGGTACTCATTTAGGGGTGGCTAACAGTGCAGCCCAAAGTGCGTACTTCTTTCTTTATGAGACAGGATATATCCATATCCTAGTGAGTGATAACTACCCTGTGGTCAAATAGTAGGGTTTTGGTCACAGATATTTTTGTAGCATTGCTTGTGTTTAGTGGAATCACTATGTGCGCAATGTTGACTATCTTGGTTGGAGTTCCCGAGATGAAAGGAATCGGTGGTTGGGAATTCTCGGTGATATGGCTGAAAATCGGTGATAGTGTGACAGATGTATTCACTCTTTGACGTCTCTTAAAGCTTAACTATTTGCACTTAGTTTTATCTTGAGATAATTTGTTATATCACATAACTTTATCTTGTTTGATATCAATCTTTTCCTAACCAATTGTTTTTTGTATACGACTATGAAGTGTGACATCTTGAACCGATGCACTTACGTGCGAGGTTTTACGCTAGTTTTGTCTGTGTGTTTCCCTGTCAATCAATAGCCTATTGTGTAAAACGCTCTAGCATCTGAAGTGATAAATGTTGAGACCATGTCTCAGTGAAAATATCACCAATCACTGAAAGGATGTACATTCAACTAGTGCACCCAAAATAGGCGGGAACAGGTAACCTAGATCTTACTCTTGGTCATCTCTAAGCAAATAACATTAAAACCGGTAGGCTGGTTTTTTTCAACTAACTGAGGTTTATATATTTTTAGGGTTAGGGCATAAATCAGTAGCGACAAAAAATAATTTATGTTAATAAGTAGTCCGGAAGTGTCCTTTGTCGCTAGAAATAGGTTAATAATATTTCGATAAGTTTCTTATAGTTAGGCTGCATAATATTAATTCCATGAATCCCTTCAAAAGGTGAAGCCACTTAGCGCATTTAGAACTAATCAAGTCATCTAGAAGTTTCCAGAAGGTTTCATGAATGGACATTTATTTGTTGATGACGCAAATTTACAAGAATCAATGACAGCAACCTGGTGAATACTCTCAGAGTACAAAGGCTATGTAAATAACTTAATACCTTTGTACATAACTAACCATGCAACACACACTTTGCTACTTTACCGAAATTCACATGACAGATGAAGCGGAATTCGACGATTATTAACAAAGTATTCAGAAAGTATGCAGACAGACGTACATATTACATCATATGTTCACATTACTGAACAAACCACTCACTGCATCTCTGATAATTTATTTCCAAGAGCTAATCAGACAGGTGGTGGCTTTCGTAATCCAATGGCCTAGTAGATAACGCTTTGGTGTTTGAAGCGATCGGTCCCGGGTTCGAGTCTCAGCGGGAACAAGATCATTCATCGGAATGCAGGCAAATCCAACTGACGAGTCCCAGATACAACGAAAGGCGCACCCTGGGTTCCACTGCGAGTTACCAAGATAAACACAGCTAATCAGACAGTCTTTCACAGTGTTTCATGCAGTTATATTACACAGTTTAATTGATACTTATGAAACATAAACTTTCATGTTTTCATCAAATTGTACACAATATGATAAGCATTACAAATGATGGTATATACCATCAATTAGAGTACTCGACTATCGACCAATATGTCAGAGTTTTCAACTACACTGTACACATATAATTTCAAGGAGACCGGTGGTGTCTCACCAGATTCTTACATTACGTGTAAACGTGTACATGAATCTGAGCGTGTGCACTGACTGCTGAGTGCTTAGCTTCATCATTATCACTGATTATTAAAACAAAAGTGAGTAGAGAGTATCAAATGAAATCAAATGCTCACAATTATTGAAAATTGTAGAGATACACTGAGTAACTATATCCATTAGTGTAAAAATGTTTAACTGATCACTTTCATCAGTGAGAAAAGAGTGGGATTTAAGTAGTAAGATTATATAATTTCAAATTCTGTTTTCCATTAGGCTGACTTAGAGTGGATTTAAATATCATTCTAATTAATTTCATGAGTATTCATGCTTGAAATCTCATGAATTGAACTTTGGATACTAACAGAGATAAGAAATTTGCTTACAAAACTTTGAAGTTCCTAACCGAAATATAGTTTAAAATGAGGTAAGATACATACGATTCATGTAAGTAATGTTTATTTCCTAATTAGTAATTAAACACCTACGCAGTTAGTAACATAGCCGTCAATTTGTAATGTGTGAGATCAAAGGTCTTAAATCACATGAAAATATTTCAGATAAAGAACTACCAGTGATTCAACCCTTAAACATTCAATGTAAAGCAAACGTGAAATAGGATTAACCTATGTGATAACTGAATACTTAATACTACCTATTTAATCTACACGATAAACGTACACTTTCGACGCGTTCAAACGACTAAAACGCTAGTATATGGAGTTCATACTAAATAGAAAGCTTCATCCAAATGAAGTAAAAGAAATTAGATAAAGTATAATGTCCAGGATATGAATGTTTACTCTTACCAATCAAGAGTGTTTGGTAATCTGTTAGATAACATTTCTATGATCACAAGAGGCAATCATATACTGTTTAACCAAGAGGAAATATATGATGTTGATCGTGAAAACTATGCACTCTAAGCGTATTCCAAAACAATGAAAAGTTATATTTCACAGGCTATATAAGTAAACGGGGTTTCAGTTTGTGTTCCTTAGTTTTTCGTCACTTTGTACACAATGTCCACTTGTTTTCAAATCTAAACTAATTAGAACAAATTTGTTGATGACAGTGCTCAAAAATTTACTTCGAATAGCCTTTAGGTTAGGAATTCATCTACTACTGCACAGATTACTGAAGATATAACCCACAGCCTGCGGTTCCTGAGAGCTAATACTTCAAAATGTAGTATGTTATAAATGTAAACTAGAAATAAATTATAGGAGGAGGCTTTATTTATGCTTCATCACCAGGTATTCAGTAACCCATATAAACAAAAATTACAGTTGTGTTTACAGAGACTGATCATTGATGCACCAATTTTTAGTTACTTAATTTCTTATCACAACATGATGACTAGTGATTTGTTGGTTTTTTCACCAGAAAGTTATCGGTGTTATCACATAACTACCTTGCGAGTTATGCTATCATGAACTGGCTAGTTCTCTACTGCATTGTTCTGACCTTAGAACTGGATTATAATACAGCTCAAAAAGTATGTGCTTAGGAATGAACACTACTCTATTCGGTTTGTCTGCCTAGTATCTCATGTAAATTAACGTACTACAGTGTTGATATGACAGAAATATCAATAATAGAGATGACCGTCCAAACACGTGCTTACAAACAAAATGATAGTGCTTCTGCTTTAATATCTGCTACAATAGTGGTACAAAGTACTGGCATTTTAACCTCATCCACAGACCTCATATGAGATTGGAATCCCTTACAGTAGTACAGTCAGAATAAACATTCTAACATCTTATAGCTGAACTGTAAGTCTCAAGTGTATTAGTCAGCATAACCCGGTGGAGTTTTCATAGCAAGTGCATTCAATTATATTATAAAAAGAGTTTTTACTAGTCATTTCGTCGATCTGATATTCGTGTCTATTTGTTGTTATACTACAGTCGGCAGAAGATCAGTCTGAGAGAAAACTGTCATGCAGATATATAGCCAATGGAAAAAAGATAACTTGTACAACAAGCATCAGTACTCTTGATAATAGCATACCTTTCAAGAATCATATCGGCATTCTTCAATTTAGCAAACTCAGAATTAACAATTGACATTCGGGTTTCATTTGCAATAGTCAGAGCTTCAAGAACAGGAAATGGTACCAAAATTTCAAAAATATCTTCCGGTTCAGGAGACAGTAATGGTAAACGTAAAATTTCCCTTGCTATAATACCACCACCGGTTAGAACAGGAGCTGGGTGTGTTTCACTATTTGTATCTATCTCATAAACGGTAGAGAAGGTTTCAGACCAACGACGGGATGATAGACTACGCGTAAATCTAGAGGCTATAAGTCCGGCAGATTCCTATGGAGAAAATATGTGAAAAAGAGTAAATACACTAAAAATTATTTCTATCTTGCTGAAACTGAAATAACACTGTTAAGCGATTTGAAAAATAATCATAGTGGAAAGAAATCCAGCCGTATACCGATTCATATAGTTTAGTGAATGTCTAGTGATCTGGACTTCACTTCTGATTGGTTATTTTTTTCTTATTTGACGACTAGTTTATAGCCACTATCATCTTGCTAACAACTTCTGTGTGTAAACGACAATCTATTTTACTAAAAGTACACATATTCACTCTACATTAGATGGATAGAAATTTCTCCTTTAAATATTTATTTACCTTGGTTTCGGATAAAATCGTTATTCAAATATAGTGCGAGATTAATTACCGAATTTATAGGGAAATATCGACTTTGTCACACCAACCTTTTGTTTCTTTAACTAGACATTTAACATGGTATTTTTATTATCCACAATCATGCATACAATAGAAGAAAACTTGAGTCAAAGCAGAATTCCGACCTTCGGATTACTTTCACAATGCTTCTTGAAGTGAATTACCAGACTGAACAAGTAATTACATTAAAATTTTTGCTTCGGTTAATTATGTGTTGTACAAAGTGTTAGAACTGATAAGGAATATGTTTGTATTATGTTCAAATAACTGTTCCTTCATATAGACAAGGTCAGACAACCTGATTCTGAAGCAAACGCGGTCCAATAAGAAAAGATGTGTATCCCCCTACTATACAATAGATAATTAAGAGTCGGATTGCATTACTGAATTGACACAACACTAAATCACTACTCTGGATACTAGTAATTTAGGTCGACCTATATAGTAAGCTCATTTTTTCTTTCTTATTACAATCTTAGCACCTGATAAAATAGGCTATTTCTGCTGATCGACGTATATCGACCAAGTACACAATGAGCTTACTGAGACACTGTAATGAACTGTTATAGTGTTATCCATTACGAGACTTTGCCCGAAATCCTGAACTAAGGTTTCGAGCTTATTCACAATAATCGACAGAATATATCTACAAACTTAAAAGAATTTATCCATTCTCTGAGATTCGAACCCGCATCTCTCGGCACTCCAGTTGAAGGCATTTCAACAAGATAGTGTAAGCCGCAACTGACCTGCATTAAGAGGGTGATCATTGTAACATAATGTGATCCTAAGCTCTGATGGGTATTTAAGCTAAAGAATTGGAAACTTTGAAGCTTGAGAAGTGGATAAGAAAAGCCCATAGAAACGTCGTTTACAGATGTACAATTATTATTTTGACTATCTGAGTGAGATAGCCGTGGCCTGGTGGACTAGTATTGATACTGAGTAGTAACTGAAGATGAAATCAAAATTTAGGCGGCGGCCGGATTCGAACCAACGACCACAGTTTTATTTTCTGTTTAATTATTTCCCAGGTCTTCAGCTATGCAAAATGCATATTTACCCAAACGTCTAAGAAGACTCTGCTGTATTTGGTAGAATACAGCGTACGAATTTCCTGGAACTGTGCCCTTTGTCAAGTAAATATTGCAACCATAAATATGGAAGTATTGTCCGATATGCAATCACCTTCACTGAACTATGCTGGAAGATATTGGCAGCAACGGCAGACAATTCGCCTTTGCATATGTTCTATGTACCTAACTTCATAGAAACAGGTGGGCTAACTGAAGTGGCCAGGAGTGGTAGTCGGTTACGCATATAACTTATCGAGCAATCGGTATAGGTGATTAGCTGAATGGCTTCATAAATAACTTCGTCAAGTTTACTTTAGCGAAAAAAACTCAGTTTCGAGGAAGCTGTATTGCACGTCATCAATGCTCCAGGTATTACTACTTTCTTTTTTTCTCAATTAAGCTTACCTAAATTCGAGGAAATTGAAATGCTGCACAATAAATTGTAACGATGAAATTTGATCTGGTTTACCTAAACTACACTCATAGTACAACTTTTTGGATGAATGAAGAGAATTCAGGAAGCGCATGATTGCAATTATCAACTGTGTGCAAGCGCCAACAGCGTGCTAGAAAGTGTCAAATCAACTGACTTCACAGATACTTACCAACATCGCTTTCACTTCATCAGAACTGTAGTTGGTGAACCTGAAAGCACCGAATGAAGAAAGACAATGACGGAATCACTCTCTTAGTCCTTACAACATTAATCAAAGGCACACAGGCACTGCCGAGTGGGAACCAATCAAGCCCTGAAAGACCATGAGGAGTAGTCGTAGGCAACAAGATTCTTGAAAAAAGAAGTTTGTGGACTCACTACATTGTCTCAGTGAGCCAAAGTAAATAACCACGCTGGGATGCCCCATACATGTTTCAGGAATGCTACATACACATTCATGGTCCAAGATACCAGACCTTCCACCAGCAAGGCTTAACATATGATTTGAAGAAGCATGCGGAAATTAAAAGCTTCTATATGCGCTTTGAAGTGCGCTTAATAGAAACAGAATGAAAGTTGGGGAACTCGAATAATTATCATGAGCTTACAGCTACAAGCTAAAGATGGTGCAGAAGTACCATACGGTAAATGTGAAAAAAAGTTAGGAGAAAACGAGAGCAAAGATTGATAGCGTTGAGAGAAGGCTTGAATTATGACAGAGGCACGATGGTGATTAACAGTTCCCGATCTTCAACACTGTGAGCGATTACTTTTCACTTGATCAGTTGGAAAAGAAATTTAACTAGCAAAGACAGTCTTATCGACCTAATTTTATGACAGCAGAACCTGAGTGATGTCTATCACACAAATCTTTGTGAGGTTATTGAAATAGATCTGGCTGTATTGAAAAGTAGCTTCCCTTACAGTTAGCATCAGACGTCAATGGAGAAAGAAGGGAGTATACAAAACGAAAACGAAAGTCACTCAACAACTGCGACCTTGTTTACACACTAGGCAATAAGTCACAGCAGTTATGTGAAAGTGCGTGATAATACCTGACTGACAAAACCTCCATAAGTAGAGCGGATTGTAAACTCCTGTCGCACAGATTCAAAATTGAGTGCCTAGATGAATAACCTACAGGACAGTACTGTTTTCAGAGCTAAACTTTCCTAATGCATTCCCCAGAGGAGGAAGATAATATCAGCTCAAAATTCTGAGTGTCCTTGGAGAACATCTTACTGCCTCCAGATTTCATAGAATTGACAGAACAATTTTGCCCCCGGACCTCAATCATAAGGCAAGCCATTTGCACTGTGATAGGAACGACCTTTAGTCTCATAATTATCTAATAAACCTTTCTGCCATAGTAGAGCCATAAGGAACAGTTGTTACAGTCAGTATAGCTCGTTAGGTCATTACGATGTGGAAGCCTGACCGACACATCAATGTACCAAGTTTGCGGAAATTATCAAGCTGTTTCACTTACGTGCCTTGCAGTTAAACTAAATATAAACACCAACCAATCTAGGATCATGAAATATGTAAGGTATATAGTGAGGCTCTCATTCAGGATAGTGTCTTTCCACAGTAAGTTAGACCCATGTATTGAAAGAGATGAAGAGTGAAAAATCATAAGTCGATCTCGGAAAATGGATGTAGCTTAAAGCAGAATAGAACTCAACAAAGGGGAAGCAAATGATGAAAGCCACTAGTTCCAATCTTAGATAGAAATAGATCAGAATACATAAAAATGAGTTCATGCACAGATAAAGTAAAGAGCTCATACATGAACAGCTTTATTTACAAACCAATTTATCCTCACTAACAAACTACCATGATTATAATCCTAGTATTATAAAAGCAATAACGAAAGTAAAACGATGAATTTTTCTAGGTAACATTTCTAAACATTCAGAACTTTGGAATGATTACTATCAATAGGACAAGAAAACACCAAGCTTGTTCTTTTATATCAACAATACTGCGTCTATATAACTTCGTTTAATAAAAATATTACCTTAGTATTCTTTCTCCTTTTGTCTTCACCCAAAGGACCATTAACCAGGATACTGTAATATTTCTGTTTAGTCTTAATGACTCGATACCAGTCCTAAATAAAGGAAAATATAGTGTAAAAACCTAATACACTTACCTCAGGCACAGATTTTACAACATCCTCATCTTGTAAACAACTGGGAATATGTGAGAAAGAATCTAGACATTTTTTGTATAATTTATTGATGTGATTGACAATACGCCGATATTCAGGTTCATCTGAAATAAAATTCAATTTAAGTATCAGGTAATATATTGAAAACTGACATTTCATTTTGGAAAATAATTTTCATTTACCATAGATAGACCAAGCGGTCTGCTACATAGACCAGCTGGGAATTGAAAATTGTATGAAAACTTTGGAATAAACCTATAATTGTAATTATTTTATTAGGCAGTAGAATAACCACTTCAGACCTGGACGGGGGTGCACCGATCGTATCTTCACTCTTCGACAGGTTTTGTAACACAGGCATACTTACCCACAGCCATATTTCTTAACCTGAAGGCGGCATTCCACTCTGTCGACCGTAAGGTGGTGTGGCGGTGTCTAACTGTGAAGGGAGTACGGAGAAAATATATAATCCCTATCAAAGCTCTCGAATCGAAATCACGCAGCCGTGGGCTTAAGGAGCATTGTCACCTGAATTGATGACAACTAGGTGTTTACCAGGGATTCCAACTGTTACCTTTCCTATTTAACTTCGTTATAGACGTACTAATCGACAGAACACTGGGTACATCTGAATTGACAAGGATTGACCTACTCCCCTACCTGGAAGTCATCCAGTTGGCTTGGAGTATGCAAAAGATATTGTCCTGCTAGGTGAAGACGCTGACAAAATACAGCGTCTTTTGGACGTGTTGGGCAGAAATCTAAGTATGTTTGGCATGCGTTTTGCTGTTCCCCATCAAATGTGAGATGATCCTCCAGGATTGGTCTGCAACAAGCACTCCCAGTTCACTGATAGTGAGTGAAGTCGCGGAATGTGTCGACCACTTCACTTACTTAGGTATTTGCACCAGTGCTAACAGACTGACCGCTGACGAAACCTCAGCCCGGATACAGAAGGTCCGTTTGGCATTCACCAACTTGCATCATCTGTGGCGCTAGCTGGCGATACATACGACTATCTACCAAAGGACGAGTATATTACGCTGCAGTCCGTTCAGTCCTCATGTATGACTGTGAGATATAGCTATTAGAAGAAGACATGAAAAAATAACAGGGTTTTGATCACAAGTATATTCGCAGCATTGCTCGCGTTTAGTGGAATCATCATGTGAACAACTATGAGGTCAGGTGAAGAGTACTAGGCAAGATAGAAAAGTCTGTTGATGAGGTTGTGAACCTCAGTTGACTGAGATGGCTTGGACATTTACTGCGCATGTCGCGAGCCACCGCCTACCTCGACGTGTCATGTTAGTAGGGGATGTTGGATCAGATTGGAAGAGGGTTGAGGATGATCAGACAAAGACCTGGTACCAGTTGAAGTCCCTTACTGCTGGTCTGATTCGTATGGACAGATGTAGACTGTCTGGTTGGGGTTCCCGAGACGAAAGGAACCAGTAGTTGAGGTCTCTTGGTGACATGGTTGAAAATCGATCACAATGAAGCAGAGGTATTTACTCTTTGACATTTTCTAAAGCTGGAACATTTTCACCAACCTTTTTCTTCAGACCGTTTATTCTCTCATACAAGTCTATCTCCTTTGATATCACTCTTTTTCGATCCACTTATTTTTTGTATACTATTGTGAAGTGTGGCAACTGGAACCAATGCACTTGCTTCTAAGATTCGATGTTGATTTTTTCTATCTGACTGTCTATAACGGTGAAATATTTTATTTGGATGCAGTGTACGATAAGGCAGTACCATCCTAGATAAATTGAATTCTGAAGTTTTAGCTTTTGTCGTGACTTTGAAATATCCAACTGAAAAGTGAATGTGAACCTCGAGGCACTTTTGTTATTTGCCAAAGGATTGTGTTATTGCTTTGAAATTCACTGACTTCTGTCGACTCATCAGTTCGAAACCGAGCACGATACTTCAGTGAAAAGGTCATTTGCCGTATCTAGTTCAAATTAACTTTAAACTGAATTGAGATGGGTCCACCCAAACGTAAAATATGGGAAAAAGAGTTCTTTAACATTAATGTATTTCTGAATGTTCAAAACTGCAAAGTAATTGTAAAAATATGACAATACTTAAGCATTCACTATAAATTTCAACTCGGATTATTTGAACATCAAGAATAGAATACAAGTAATTTTAAAGACATAGTAAAAGTGGATAGTGGCTAGCAGTGGAATTCAGGATGCGCATTTTGTCCCGTTTGGGGCTCGGCAGCTAGATGTAACTGCCTCCTAGTGACTGATGTTGTTCCCACTGGTATTCGGACCCAGGAACGATCGCTTCAAACGCCAGAGAGCTATCCACTACACCACAGAGCCACGACAGCCACTTCTTTGTGAGACGGTTAAGTTTTAGTGTTATTGCTTGTACAGTTGTAACGCTTATACCACAAACAGGATGAAATGCGCATTCTGGATTCCACTGCTAGCCACTATCCACCTTTACTATAACTAGAACACAGGTATATCGAGGCATCCGCACAGGTATAATACAAGCAATAACACTAATTTCAAAGACAGCTTGAGAACGTGAACCAAAATAAATGTACGCTACATAAAATTTGAAATACAACTCTGTTGGTGAAAACTATCGCTTGAGTTACCTATAATACTGATGCTCCACAGGTTAAATACATGGAATGGTCTAAGAATGCTAAGCTGAATAATCAATTCGAAGGTGTATAGAAGTGGACAAAACATTATCTTAGACTATAGTACTAAGATAAACAAGCACCACAGTGGTTTCACAATACAGCTTACGGATTCCTTACAAACATTTAAATCTTATTTATTCGAAAAGTCAGAATAATGACATTTAAATGTGCCAGCTTTCGAAGAATCATTAATGTATGTGAATAGCTTCAAGTGTTCACATCTAAACAATAGATTATTAAGAATTCATAAATGAGAAAATGTTGTAAATTAAGATTCTATCCTTCTAGAACTTCGGTATATCCACTTATGAAGAAGTGACTAGGTTTTCCTTAGTATGTTTTAGTCAAATGTTCACTTTGAAAGGAAATTTTGACCAGTCTTGATAATTTGATCTTAATTGATGATAGTATTCTGTGAATATATTTATAATCTACAGTTTATTCATTGGCTGGAAAATATCAAATATCAGTCACCAGCTATTACTTTTCACAGCCATTCTCGCGAAAAAAGGTGAAATCAAAGAATGGAACACAACTTCAACTGCCTGACGATAAATTTGCTGTTGAATTAAAACTACGAAAGGAAAACAGTTCTCCTATGAATTATACCTCACTGTTTCTCTTAAGAAAAAGAGACAATATACAAACAAATTACCATTTCGAACTCGAAGAAAATTGCACTCGTTTGCTTGAGCTATCATGACATCACTAAAAATAGTTAGTACCTCTGGATTTATGTCCATAAAAGATTGTTCCACATGTGAGGCAAGATACTCGAATGCCTCAGCAGCGATCTGGAAAGTAGATTACATGTATTATAGGATATACACAAATATAAAAGGAACACAACAAAATACACATGCAAGAAGCCTTATACTCCAATCAGACTTAAGTCGTAAAAACCTTAAAACATAATACCCCAAATCGAGTTTAAACAACTTACAACCATAAGAGAAAAGAGATCACTAAGAGAACAAAAATTTGAAAATAAACTACAAGAAATCTGAAGACAAGAAGCAAACAGTTACAAAATGAAAAAATATTCAGTTATTACAGCAAAAGTGTAAGCGCAGCTGAGTAACCATAGACTCCAGCGTTTCATGGTAAGTTCATCATTAGATAAATAAACGAAACAGAGAATTTCAAGACAAATCATCAAATACTGAATACAAAAACAATATAACTCGGGCAGCGTGGTAGAGCGAAATGCTACAATGGTTCTTATAAACAAGTACTACACAGAAACAGTTTTATTAACCGATAACGCTCAAGCAAAATTTATTGCTAATAATCATATCAAAGTAATCTCAAAACTTTCAAGTATGGTTTAATGGTTCCTTTTTTATTTCATTCTTTGATTTAATTGATAGTAAAACTTTCCACATATTCGGAATTGGTAGAAAATCTGTGCCAAGAGATGAAAAACTCAACAACTACACCCGCCAATTTATCCAGAAACACATGAGAAGTAGTAAGAAAAATACTGCGAATAACAGATAATAATTCAGATACAACAATGTTAATAATAAAACCACGGCGAGGATTTGGAAACTACAACAGTTTTACCATGTAAAGAAGGAAAATCAAAAGCCCCATAAGGGAATCTCAATGCGGTCTAGATTAGAGTAGTTTTTAAACCGACAAACTCACTTAGAGACAAACGCTGTCGACTAAAGGGTCCAACAAAATAGTTTAGTCCATCAAATTTCATGTAATGACTGTGAAACCAAACTAATCGACCAATCTCAATTAAGCTAGTGGAAGACAGGAATCTCACTCAATATAGAGTAGTAGACCCGAATAAGATAGGAAATCTAGAAAAGATCTCAGTCATAACCGTGCACGCTGCCGCATACAATTAAGCAAAAGGATGAGACAGAATCACAATTTTAAAAGGTAACGTGGCTAGATGGAGAGATAGAAATTGATGACTGAAGTCTAGTTTATCAAATCGATACTGGGCAAATGATAGTAATGATGCAACATCAATTCCGAATATGTGGAAAGTTCTACTGTCAATTAAATCAAAGAATGAAATAAAAAAGGAACTATTAAACCATAATTGAAAGTTTTGATATTACTTTGATATGATTATTAGCAATAGACTCCATTCGAGCGTCGTTTCTATGTGATACATATTAAAAAGATCCATGGTGAAAGTAATTACTGACTTCTTTTATTATCTGTTTGCCTAGATACTCCTAAATGTCTTCCAGGTTCACTCCGTAACAGTTTAGTTTGTCATACTATGACTTTGAGAAGAATCATTGATGACAGAAAATTATTGGTTTCTGATATTCAACTGTCGTTACCATTTTCCAACATCTTCCATGTATGTTCACATCACGATGTCATCAGTGTGCAGGTTAAATGTAGGTTACTACATGAAGCAGGCAAACTGTTAACCACGTCATAGATTGCCATCAACTAACTGGTTTTTTTAATGGGCTACGAACGCTTAACCAATGCATACCCTAACATGTCACCAGGATAAGGATGAGATCCGGCAAAGCTAAAGGTAGTCAAAGAAAGACGGCAGTACACCAAAAAAATCTTGTGTAAGCCTGGTTTGTACGAGAACGAATAACTGTCCAGGTTACAATATGCGAAAAAACCAAACTCAACTATCAGAGACTTCAGGTGATATGACACAAAATTCATCCACCAATGAAACAGAAGGATCCACGTTTCATCTTCGTTTATATGCTGAAAATTTGATTACCGCATACTGTTATCCCCTTAAGCGTATGTTCCTGTTGTATCCTAGTTTTCGGTACGAATTATAGTACCACTACTCCTACCTCCTAGTCTTTCTTCTTGCGGAAGTCACTCGGACCTTTTGGTTGGAAGCATGAAAAGTTGTACCGATACAAAAATTCAGAACCTATGTTTTACTGCAGTGTTTTCTATAACATACATCATCGTGATCACCTTGATACAGTGTACTTCAACACCGTTCTTTTGAAAATATATAACAGTAAAGAAAATCTCATTTTACCTTAATACACTATACGTTAATCGAGGAATGTTTGCAGGTTATTCAACCGAAACAACACAGTAAAAAGTTCAGGTAACAAAAAGTCTGACAGTTGGTTATTTTAGCATTGTAGAACTCTGAGATACGAAACTCCCCAGAAATTCAGTGACTTCTCTAAAAACTGAAGCGATAATTGCTTGAATCTACACTTTCTATTGAAGCTTTATCCATGAGTTACTACAGAAACTCATCAAAAAGGCGAATGCTAAACAGATTCATTTCAGTTAGACAGATTTTATTCATACGGTATACTCTCTTAGCTTGATTATCTTGTTACCTGCTGGAAATATTAAATTATCCACCTTACATTTGTGAACATTTGGGAAATAATTTCTGACACTAAAGGCGTAAGTAAGCAGTGGACACCAATGAGCTGGAAAAAAACATTTATCTGAATGCAAAACACCAAATACATGAGTTTTAATGACCTGCCTTATAACTAGAAATAGCCTTCACTAGTGTATGCTCACAGTTTAAATCGTAAGTTTTAGCCAAAGCTGAGTGAACAGCAGCATAACAAAAGATGATATTCATCCTCTCGAAACTGAAGGAATAGTGTTCTAAAAACGAATTTCATGAAAACAAGTAACAAAGGTGATAAACCTACTCGAGTAATTTTTGTGCCATATATCACTCCAGTTCCATGAAATACCTATGTCTTCTGACGTATTGATTCTCTTTTCTAAACTTAACAGTACATCATGATACCTGGATAAAGATTGAAAGACAATTAGTCTGTTATATTCAAGTTACTGATACGTAAAGGATTCATTTAATCATCTAGGTAAGCACCAGGTCAGCTATGGGACTGAATCTCAGTTTAATTATTCAGTAAAACAACAGTTATTTGGAAAACCTTTCGATCCGAGTAAGTCTGCTTATATGAAAAATTAAAAAAGGTTACTGAACAAAATTGTGCATTTTGTTACACCCACAACTGCTGTTTGGCGTTATTTAGCTTCTCTGAAGTTGGTAAATGGAGCAGTGTTTGAACTCGACTCACAACCACAGCTCTACAAAGATAGTAGGCATATGTCATAGATGAGATACATGACACCCATGTCTCAATTTAGTACATATATTGAAAGTCTTGATAGTAGAAAGTATTTTCAGTGTTTTGAAATCAATGTCAACGTAAACAAAAGATATCAATGAGCAAAAGGACGAGATGAAGTAAATATAAGTAAAAGCAGGCATAAAATGATTAGTATTGACAATAACCATTGTCCAAGCGATTAGCGAGTTCGGTAACTTCCAAACACCGAAAACAAGATACCATACATTAAACGACAATTAAAATAATTTAGATAAGCATATCACGTTTCTCTTAAGAGGTCTAGTTAGCCTAAAGAAATGTCGCAGTTCAGTATCGATTCTGATTTCATCATCATAAACAAACTGACATGCTTTGTTTGACCTGATAACTGAAAAATATATAACTTTGATAATGTCATGTGATTTTAACTTTCTGCACGCCAAACTGGCGAAGTATCATTGCACTTACTACGCTTTACTCATCCAAGTGTACAAGTGAATTGCATGTTCACGGTGCGTCATAATTTAAACAATAAAGTAACTGATTTCATGCATAGAGATGGTGATAATGCTTAACAGTTGACTTTACCTAATATGCAATTATTTGGCAACCTTAAGTCGTACGGAATTGAGTGAGGAGTCAATGAAAAGTCCATGGGCTAAGCTTTGCAATAATGCTGCAAAGTAAGTCCTGAGTGAAATATTTTTCACGAGATAAAATAATATGAGTCATGATGACTCGGAGATTTCGTTTTTCACTGCTTCGGATATAGATTACAAGCAATCAAAGGTAGGAAAAATTTTCTTTGTTGATAAACTTTTGTGTCTGCCATCCAACTGACTGATGTGGATTAAAGTAAATGAACAGTGTTTTTGCCTTTTATAGTGTGCGTTTCCAATGAATCATGTAGCAACTGCGGCATCTATATACTATCTTCATCTTAATCGTCACACCGAATGTGATTATTGTTTCAAGCTTCCTTCGCTCAACGTTTTACCACTTTGGCCATTTCCTTCCCTATCTTTGTCACCTTGGTGATACCCGTCTTTATGATATGATGGTGAGGCCGGTAACAGACGATCACTCAGGAAGATCAGGTCCCACGTTCACTTTGACTACCTGTGGCTTATGACCACCGTTGTGGAGCTGTAGCTCATTATTTAAGGGAAATGACTATCAACCAACGGGTCAAAGGTTCGAACTCGCTTCACCTACCAAGGTTTGGGCAGTTAGGTAGTATTATTAGCCATCACACAAAAGATGTGGCTCATTGCCAGCTGCATAAGGTTACTGAGTAAATTTCGACTTTCGATGATCCTTTTCAAACATAAAAATCAAAAACGTATTCAAAAAGTTATTACATCTGGCTTTGTTTCGGTTAACATGTAATTCCTCAGCATATGCACCACATTTCCAAACCAGCTTAGTCGATGCAGGTTCACAATCCCATCTACTGAGAGATCTTAACGCCTGGTATTCAACGTTTCACCTCAGTCTTGCTCACAAGGCTGGTACACCCACCATATGAGCGCTATGCCATGAAGACAACTATAATCAAAAACTTTAAACTCCTCGCCAATTTCTCTTTACAACACAACTGTTCACAGCAGTATAAAAAATAAAGCGAACGGTTGTGCACTATACCTACTCCTTGATAGGTAGTACGATACCCAGTCAAACAATTAAGCGGATTTTTACGGACTAGACGCATAATTTATACACTTGCAGAATAATTTAAGCGTGTATGCATAAATGCAGCCTTATTTACGCACAATTTCCGCCTTATTTCAGCAATACTCGCATTAATTACGCGAAATTCCCGCCTTATTTCCGCAGGATGGTATGGGTTGACATGTGCCACAGTTTATTAGAAATTACAAAAGCGCTCGTTAGGTAACCGTTAGCCGCGACATGTACTGACTAACTCAGGAAAGCATAGTGATAAGTAAAGACAGCCGTATGGTTTTTCCTTAGCCGTGAAACACTTCAGATTTATCCTGAAATCCCTTAGTAAAATGGACGAGACACGCAATGTGCATGAAGAAATTTTCCGAAATCCTTAAGGTCTTTTGAAACTTTCAAGAGTTCCACTATTCGCGAAATTGGAAATAGTGGATGTACTTTGTAACTTCTCCAAGTTCTAGATGACAACTCAACAGTGTGTAATAAGAAAACCATTGGAACTGTCACAGAAATATTTTCGCTGGCGACATAACACATCAGTGAGGGCATTTAAAGCTTTTCCCCAAAAATGCATTTGAAACCTTCGCTGGTTAAATTATTTAAATAGGGATACGTGGTAAGGTCGGTATTACAAATTGGTTGTCATTCCGAACTTAGAAAAATCAGAATAACACTCACTACCATGTTAAATTGATCACATGTATCAGGATATGCGTAAATAACATCGAGTCCAATTCCAATATTGATAGTGTGAGTGTAGAAAGCTGACAGTTTTTTGGTCTCTCGAGTCTAGTGCTTGGGGCTACAACTACAGGCTAGTTAGTTACGCATGGAAACATCTGCTCAAAATGATATAACTAATATTTAACACAAAAATAATTTCCCAAGCATTTTGTAGAAAGAAAAAAAAGAACACTCACGCTGCAAGTGACTGTATCCGTTGGTTGAAAACGCAGTCAAGATGGAAGCAAGCTTCATCGCGCAATGAACTAAGTTTTTCCAAAGGTTTTACGCACTGTGATGCAACAGACTCGCCAAACTTCCCAGCTATGAACTTCTTCAGAGGGGTTATCAAGTCAACTTCGGTAGCAATTTTCGTCGGAACGGATAAAAACGTCATCATACGACAGGTGACCAACCTTCAGACGACCTAGAGCCCTAGATACTTTCAAGGAACGAGCGCTTCATAATACAGTGACGGTATGCAATAAGAGTGACTATATAGTAGCCCATTAAGAAATTAGGATAGCGGGTTAGTTGGCGAATATCAAACCCTGGAAGAGATATCTCTATGAAAATCTAGTTTCTCCTTGAACGCGATGGATGAAGATGCTGGTACTAGCTCCTAGTGTTAGGAAATACTGTAACTGACTACACGATGGCAGAAACGTTGATTCACGTCACCTTTATTCGACGGCAGCTTTTGGATTCCCTTATGAGCCCTCGGTGGTAGTTGTTCCTACCACTGATGGAAAGATAGGAAATGTCAGTGTCGAAGTCACCATTAAAGAAACAGAATGAAAGTATTAGACCACTCCCTTCCCTACGGTAGGACACTGGGAAATAGTTCAGCCGATCTAGTCTTTCCCTAAACAGCAGGTTTGACAGGCTTTCTACAAGCCCACTACCAACCCTTCGAACATGCTTGGGCACGTACGCATCCTTTTTAAGGACCGGTCTGGAAGCTTGAATGGAGTTTTCTAAGTTAGGTCTAACATAAGCAGAATAGAGTATTATGAACATATCCTAATCAAAACTTTTGAAAGGTCCGTAGATGGACGATAATGCACTGAAGCCCTTTGCTGCAGCCGCATTACATTGTGAAGGGGTTTTCAAATCATGAGTTATGATGACACCTAATTCTTTCAGTCCAAAAACTGGGAGTGGTGGTGTACCGGCAACAGAATACTGGAAACAATGGCTATGACGAATGTGCATTATCGCACTTTTGTTGTAGTTGATTTTCAGTTTGTGCCGACCTACCGGCTCGTCCAAACCTGCTCGAAGTTCAAATCTGTCAGCACCACTACTTATGACTCCGATCTCTTACATCGTCGGTACATAGAAGCACCATAGAATTCATCACATGCTGTAATCCGATGATATATGACAAGAAAGTAGGGGACATCAGGTTTTTGTTTGGGGGACTCAACTCATCACAGGTTTCCATCCGGACAGTGTTCCACTTACACCATTCGCCAAATCCAGGATTGCTGTGAATAACCAGTTTCGAAGGAGGAAAGCTTTCCTATTAATTTCATATGTGACGCTTTGTTGAAGCCTATAAACACGGCATCTGTTGGCGGTCTGCAATCGCTGGCTGCGGCTCATTCCACTCATTCATTGAGGAGGCTTGCTGAACAGTAATGTCTAGTATGAAAACCATTTTGCCGTTGTGCCTGAAGATTACTTGATTTAACGCTGTTGTAAATCCCACTATTAATCAGTTTTCCTAAAACCCTACTGGACATCTTAGTTAGACTAACAACATGGCAGTCAACCACCAAAAGCCTCAGAACTGGCCTGGTTATAGCATATTTCCAGTCCTTATGGCCGCAAACCTGATATAAGGGCATACTGGGTAGATCAGTTACCAGCTTAGCAACAATGTCCGCTATCAAGGATCTGGGCTGCAACTACTTAGGACCCGGAAATTTTCCGGGTTTTGGACTGCTGAGCAACTGGAGGACTGTTTCCTCTGTTAAGACCAATGTATCCATTAGTGGAGAAGTGAGGACACCACCACTGATCACTTCACCCTCAAGTCCTCGTTAGCAGTCCATTCCTTATCAAACGCGAAATCCATCATATTTGAATTTGTCTCCGTCCCACACATTAGGTCTGGAGATAAGCAGTGTCAACATCAAACCCATACTTTCGAAAGCCCAAACTCAGCGCCACGTGATCGCTGTTAGCTAACGGACGGAGGGATCTGAGGTGCATACCATTTTCACACTGTTGGGTTGCAAACGAAATCGGATAACGATTGCTCCAGTTCAAAATCGTACCACGTTTCACGGGTTACGTTTTCACTTTAAATAGGTCCTAGTACTGTTAAACGTCGATCCTTTTGGAAGCCACTGCGTGCGGCTTTGGCCGTGAGCTCCATTCACTTTATGTGTACGTCAATCGGATCCCAAATATCTGGGAATCTGTAGCTTCTACTTCAGATATATATACGATTTAGCGTGAAGTCATTTGCAAAGGAAGACGGTCCATGGTAAATAACTCCAATAGTATATAAACGCTGATTTCAAACCAGCTCACAGCTGGTGACTTAGCAGGCATTGCTTTCATGTGCTTCTGAAGTGACCGATTGAATGTGGACGTCATCAGGAACACAGAAAAGGATCATACCAGCGGTGCGACGCACAAATCTATCTATCGCTATACAGTAATATCCTTATATAGGCGGCGCGACATCTGAATCGTCCGCTAATCAGTTTACAGCAACGGCAAATATGCCGGGATATCGTGCAGAGACCAAAGTCTGCAGGTTCGGTATTTTATCTTTAACCATGCAAACATAGTTATAGGTTATGTTCACTGA